TTTATGTTGAATCGACATATGTTCCTCTTCACATTTGAATTTGATCGATTAAACTTGATCTCGGTTCTCAAACTACAAATTAAATCACAAAAGCATATGCCTTCAATTTTTGAACTCACATTGATTTCATTAATTTCAGATTTCACTAATTTCACCAATCAATCTAATGCACAGAGACTAAAGATAGAGAAAGATTATATATACTTGGTCTAGACATGGACGGACGAGTGGACGAGGACGACACCTCAAACGGCTCAACCTGGTCGGCATCCTTGAGCAGCCGTTGCTTGACTCTCTGGCCACGGTATGCTGTTGCGTGCTTGTACATATCCGACGGCAGGCAGCCTCCGCCAGTCCAGCCGACGTGGACCTATCTGCTGCCAACTGCTGCAGTGCCGCGTGCTTGCTCTGTCGCCAACGCTAATTCTCTACCTATCGCAACTGACTACATATTAAAAAGTTTTAAAAAGTTTTCGCAATTTTTGGGTATACCGATGCATACCGGGAACCTCCTTGGGTCCGCCCCTTCTTGCATATTTTAGTATTTTGGGTAATAGGTTATAGGTATACTGATATTTTGCATGGTTTAGTATTTTGCAGCATGTGTTACACTTTAAAAGCCTCGAGGAAACTGCCTAGGATGATTTTGGGAAGTTTACCTCTCTGTCTACATTTTCATTAGCACAATTAGTGATGTTCATCAAGATGATTTCCTTATATTGAACTTATGCACCTCCATTTTCTCCATGGGTCACTCTTAAATCTTATTTCTCCAATCTTTTTTTTAAACCCTATCGGGGGTGTCTTTGTATTGAAGAAGAAGAGAATTGACCCAGTTTATAAGGAAAACCGGGCCCGAAAACCATACAACTGCACAGTTAATTATTAATTATGGGAAACCGGCTAAAATCCACCGCACAGAGAAGAGCAAGGGACCTAGGTACACAACAAAAAAAGATGGTGGAGCCCAACCGCAGGACATCGCTGCCAAGCTAAACACAAAAGCGACACAACAGCTTCGACATCGCAGAAGAGGTGTTATCATTGCCGAGCTAACCGCCCAAGCGATCCAGTAGCGCCGACTTCACAACCGTAGGATACTGAAGCGAAAGTCACCAAAGCGAAAAGCAGCTCTGACATCTAACAATGGACATCAACCAAACCACCAAAGAGCCACTTCCTTCACACGGCTAGCACCAGCTCCCTAGAAGAGACTGCAACATGTCATCGTTGCCAAGCATCAATGCACCCCATCAGCGAGCAGCTCCGACTTCATCAGCAGAAATAGCCGAAGAGCATGTTGCCCACTGCAAGAACGAAGCGGACCCAAGAAGGCGAAGGCTTCGCCGAACACCAAGATATGAAAGCTTTTGAACCGAAAAGACTATCAACAGTCATCGATTCAAAGGAACTTCTCCAAAGCAACGCCCCCAAGGAATTTCTCCAATCTTAGATTGGGAAAAAGAAGATATTGATGTATAACATAGGCATGACCATATCTAAGTAGACGATTTATTGAGTAGGCCCTTATCTTTGTGATACAGGTACCATTTGTTTTTGTGGGTTGGTGCGATAGTTGGTAAGAGAGATTGATCCCGACTCAGTTCATGCCTTACTGCCTCATTGTGTCTGGTCTTGCATCTTGCTCACATTGTGTCTTTGCTATAAAATTCACGTTATCAAGCAAGAAGGATTTCAGGAGGAAACAATGGGAGGATGGGAGGAGGGAGACACATGCCCATAGGATATTTCTTTGGCTGGTCTGCAGGTCCTTCAACTCTGTAATATCAATGTTAGAATTCTCGAAGGATGACATGAGTGTTAAGGACTTGAAACAAACGAAGGTTATGGTTTGGGAGAGTAAGAGAGATAGTCTCGCATGCCTAGGCATACTCCAAATGAATCTACATATGCGGTGATGGTTCAAATTTTGAGCAAAGCCAAGCAATTTGTAGCTGAGATTTTCTATGCATAGTTTGACGGTTTAGATTCAGAACTCTATTCAAATTTCATATTTCGGCTGCACCCAAGGGCTCGCCTAGCACAAGGGTTTAATGTGGTCAGACATAACCTAGACGGCTGGTTATTGACTATATATGTCTATATCATCCGACTAGTTGGGTGCTCATTATAGTTGAGTTGTGTGGGCAACATCCTTATTTGAATAGATACCTCAGTTGCAATACAACACACATAATTGTATAGGAATAGATATCATCCAAAATATGGATATATTGATGAGCAAATAAGTAAGTTGAGATCTCGAAAAATGAAATTGACTACCTATTCTGACTCAAGGATGACTAGGACTACTCGGATCATATACCCCCAATATTACTCTTGAGTTCTACCTGGATACTGGGTACCTAGGGTGTAAATTTAAAGTTGAGCATCTCCAACAGAATCTCTATTTGGCTCTTCAAGTTAAAATTTGGCCAACACAGAGAAAAAACGAGCTCCAACAGACTCTCCATCTGGATAGCCAAGCCATCCGGATGGCCAAATTGCTCCATCGGCTAGCCAAATGTAGCCAGCCTCCTCCACTGGCCAAAGGTGGGTCCCACCACCACTCCTATCCCCATCTTTCTTCTCTCTACTCCATCAGAGGGCACGCCGGCCACAAGGGCGGTAGGGCGCCACTGACGTCTAGGCCACCAATCACCGTGGCTGTTGTCCACCGTCCGCCACGGCAATCATCGTCGTCGCCGTCGTGCCACGGTCACGCACGAGCCGTCGCCGCCGCGTGGACGTCGAGCGAGAGCGCGGCCTCGACGTCCTCGTCGACCTCGGACGGGGAAGGACGGGGAACACCTCTGGGCGGTGGCGCTTGGAGGTGGTGGTGGTGGCGGCGGCGGCGAGGGCCGAGGGGAGGAGGGGCGAAGGGGTGTAGGGGCGGAGGCGGACGAGGGCGTAGGGATGTAGGGTGGAGGTGGAAGAGGAGCATCGCGGCAGCGGCGGCGGGGGCACGAGCCTTGGCACCATGGGCGGCCCCTCCTTTGCCGCCGTTCGCCACCCGTGGCACCGCCATGGGGACCGCCTCACCGCCATGCTCTCTGCCCGTGTAGCTACTCGGGAAAAGGGGGAGAAAATGAGGAAGAAGAAAGAGTTGAGGTGATATGCGGGTCCTGTCATACACTCAAAATAGAGAGGATGAATGGAGAGGCTGTTGGAGTAAATAACAAATTTAACTTGCTATTTCAATGGAGAGTTGGCCAATAGACATTTGAAGAGTTAGATTTAAGGAGATTGTTGGAGATGCTCTTAGGAAGGGAGTGCATCACAATCTCAACACACCAACACAAATGACTCCCTAAAAACTAGCCGTTGACCATATCACCAAGATCTTATCTCATCGACATAGTTGTGTAGGTTAGATTAGAATTTCCATCATATGCTTTGTATTTGGTGTTGTCCACGGAGCAACACATGTAAACATGATGTAGTGTTATTACCCACTGGACATGAACATATATAAAACTCAACTCCCAGTCTCCTGCTTCCTCGCAATATCTTTGTACACATCCTCATACCAATCAATCCCTATATACACAAATCCCATTGGAGGGATGAAAACAGAGCGATGTCATTTTTTTTGAATTTTTTTTGGAAATGGTGTTTTTTCATATTTATAAATTTGACTATTTAGTAGCAACTTCAATACAATGCAGACACAAATTAGAAAAACTAAATTTTACATTCGAAAACAATTTGAAACGTCATATTTTATTATTATTATTTTTACGGGAACGGTATCGATATGTCGGAAGATTTCTATACCATTTTCATCCCTATCCCATCGTTAGGATATAACCCATCAATAGGGAGACGAATCTTTCTGTATGGCCAAACAACTAAACAAGCACAAACATATATACATTGTTTCTTCTAGAAACAATCAACTCCTATGAATCTTGACATACATCAAGATTTATAGCCAGAGCAGGGGAGTTGACCAAGCCTCGGGTCACCTGGGCCGTATCTTAAGGCCTATAAATCTTTTTTTTATAGAGAATCTCTTATATACCATTCTAAATTACCCGGCTTCCTTATATGCCACTAAAAAAGTTACTTTTCCTTCTATGCTATTGGGTTTCAATTTTCATCCCTTTAGTGCCACCACCGTCAGGTCTGCTGACCTTAGCTACCGTTAAGTGAGTCAACCATGTTAGATTTTTCTTCCAATACCTGTATTACCCTCACTCTTCTCTCCATGCTATCACTAATTAAATGATCTGAAATGTGCCTAGCACTCTGCATCCTTGGTCTCCCAGCGAATCAAGATGATTAGTTAAATGACTGCAAGATAATCAAGAATAACTAAATGTGTGCCGACAGTTAATTCATGGTTTAGTATGTGCCCTTGATGCAAATTAAATGTGTACCTATGGTTACATTAAATGACTGCAAAAGCTTGCAATCAAGAATAATTAAATATGTGCCTACGTTAATTACGGAAGCTTGTTCAGCAGAGCTTGTGAAAGTGGTTCACCGACATTAGCAACTTCTTTGGTATGCATCGAGAGGAGCGAACGATGTCACACAGTAGTGGGACTACAGGGGCTAGCTCAGTTAGTCAGTCGGTGTCTCGGTGATGGAATATGCACGATTGTGAAAAGAATAGAAACAGGAGGGAGAGAAACCTGAGAAAAAACAGAGGGAACAAGGGCACTAGTGTCTTTTTATGGCCTACTTAACACCAACTTCATAGTAGTCTAACAGTGGTGGCATCGAAGGGAAGAAAACTAAGGCATAAAAGGAAACATAATATTTCCAGTGGCATATAAGGTGCCGAGTAATTTTGAATGGCATATAAAGAATTTTCTCTCTTTTCTTTTTAATTTCACCTTGTATTGAATGCATGGGCCAAAGGTCTGAATATGACGAAATGCTAAGTTCGTCTCTAGCTAGCTAGGAGTTGATTTTTATTTTTATGTAGCAAGTATATATGTTCTTATAGTTTAAAAATCATGGAAAACTTGGAATCTCTACACATACACTTCTTTTATGTGCTCAATCACTCAATTTTATTATCTGGTAGCTAGATTAAGTCACCATCAGTGAGGCAGCTAACGTCCTCGATAGTTTGTAACCACCATGTCGCAACCTCAAAAAATTACATCAGCTAACACTCTCATACGCTCATCACACAGTAGCTAGAGTAGACACAATTTTAATGTATACCGAACCGTACAGCATACGTACGTACACCGGTACACGTACGTATACGGTATACACTGGCATATATACGTATGTATATGTATTTCTAGAGCACGCCGCAGTCGGTGATGACGACGGGCTTCACCGTCTTGCCGCTCCAGGTTCCCGTCCTGTCGATGGCGCGGACGGCGCCCATCCCGGCGACGACGCGGCCGAACGCGACGTGGCGGCCGTCCAGCCACGGCGCCTTGTCGACGGTGATGAAGAACTGGGAGCCGTTGGTGTTGGGCCCGGCGTTCGCCATGGACACCACCCCGGGCCCGTCGTGCTTCACCGCGAACCCCTCGTCGGGGAAGTGCCTCGCGGCGCCGTCCAGCGCCGACTCGCCGCCGGTGCCGTTCCCGGCCGTGATGTCGCCGCCCTGGCACATGAACCCGGGCACCACGCGGTGGAACGCCGACCCCTTGTAGTGGAGCCTGCTCTTGCCGGAGCGCCCGGCGCGCTCGCCGGTGCACAGCCGCCGGAAGTTCTCCGCCGTGTCGGGCACCTTGTCGGCGAGCAGCTCGATCACCACGCGGCCAACCCACTCGCCGCCGATGGCGATGTCAAGGAACACCCTTGGGTTGGACTTGGAGGACGCCGCCGGCGCCATTGGTGACACAGGAAGAGAGAGAGGAGAGAATGCAAGCAACCTAGCTAGCTTGCTAGATAGAGATAGATAGCTACTTGTCTATGAGAAATTGTGACTTGTTGTCTCTTGGTTTGAGACTTGTGAGAAGAGGAGATGATGGCTATATATATAGGCGCCAATGGTAAATGGTTGCATGGAAGAGGAGAGAACAATGGCTTTTAAGAATAAAAGAGATGCCTCCCGCGTATAAGAAAAATAGTTTTGCTTTTGTGGGGACTATTCTCTCGTGAGTCGTGAGGACGACTCTTTGATACTCATCTTCTGATTTTAACGCTAAAAGAATAATATCATGCATGTGCCTAATTCTACACTTTTTTTTTCATTTTTCATGTGGGTGTACGTGCAAGGTGTTTTTCATGGCTATAACTTGAGTTTTTCTTGTCGGAATATCACATCAACTTTTTTTTGGGTTCATTTTTTGTTCTCTTTGTGGCCAAAATTGGGATATGGAGGTTTAGTGGTTCACACATCTTGTTGAAATGCAAGTGAGATTCTGATTCGATTGTACCCTAGCTAGCTAGGTTATAGGCGGCCGGCAAAGAGTTTGTCTATTAAGCAAATATGTTAATATAGTCGGTAAAATATATTTTGGGGGATGCATCAGATGCAGCATGCACTACCCTAGTATTTATAACAATATCATCTTAATTACCATGAAAAATAATAGTAGTAGCTGCATATATACAGTTACTATTATATATATGTGAATGTGTGCATTGATAATTGATGGTTTGCAAAGTAGTTAGCTAGTGATGCTGTTGAATGTTGCGTGGAACCAAATGGTTGGTTTTTGCACAGATGTGCTTCCATCTGTATATGCTCAAGTTAATTTTGCGTAGGTAACAAGCAAGGTTAGAGGTGTTCGATATAAACTATGGCGGCCGATGCATATTAATTAGGGTAAATTAAGGACAGTGCTGGATATCATAGGTTAATTATTGGATACTTAAAAAAAAGCTGTATAGGGCATGTACAATGGTGATTAATAACGGCCTTTTACTGTTCCTAATCAGGACTATTTGTCGACATAGAAGAGATCGAGAAAGAGAAGAGACAAAACATTATTGCTATAGGTAACGGCTCAACAACGACTCTTAGTCTCTGTAATATGAAAACATGATTACATGAGAGTGACAAAAATAGAAAGAATAGTAATGAAAATAATACTCCCACTGTCTCTAAATATTTGACGCCGTTAACTTTTTTTTAACATATTTAACCGTTCATCTTATTCAAAAAAAATTTAAGTAATCATTAATTCTTTTCCTATCATTTTATTCATTGTTAAATATACTTTTATATATACATATAGTTTTACATATTGCACAAAAGTTTTTTAACAAGAGAACGGTCAAACATATTTAAAAACGTCAACGACGTCAAATATTAAGGGACGGAGGGAGTATTTTTTAAGTTAATGGTTAGAGACTTTATTGTCTCAACTATTGTAAAGACGCGGTCACTAAATAATCTTATATTATCTAAGATGCCATACTTATGTCTACCATTGAATATGCCTTATCTGTTTGTAAAGAAACTGATTTATCACACGTAAATTTCTGCCTCTTTTTCACTACATACAGTTACGCTTATTTACTCTTTGCTATGCAAAACAAAAATTAATTAACAAAAAAACTTTCGTGATTGCATGAAAGATGGATACACAAAAAAATATATTATAGTTTTAAGTGTCTCAGTTCTTAATTAAGTAGAGATTAAAAATGACCTATATACGTATATATACTTACATGTTACTCCCTTTGGTCATAGATATTTGGCACGATTGACTTTAAAATAGATTACATATTCGTCTTATTTAAAAAAATATGCGAATATCATCTATTTTATTATGACTTATATTATTATTGAAGGTATGTTAAGTGTGATATATATTTTTTATATTCACACTAATTTTTAATAAAATAAATAATCAAACGTTATGGTCAAAATTAATGCATCAAAGACCGGAGGGAGTACCAAGGAATTATACCATTGCGGAAATATGTAAGTTGATTTTAAACCTTCAAGGACATTCATTTTTAGTACGTGCTACAAATTGTTTTGCATGCATGTCTTTTATCATACTTCATGTAAAGATGGAAGCTAGGTCAAATTTGATTACTAGTCACTACACACGAGGATACCAAAATAACAAATACGAGTACAAATACAAATGTTTGCTCATATTATTTGTTTGTTCTAATTTATCCCTGTATATATGTAAATGAAATTTTTGGTCTACATGTTTGTGGAGGAACGTGAAACAATAATCTATATGGCCTACTTTTTACAGAATTTCTGGTAGCTATTCAGACCACATGCCAAAAAAAAAAAACATGTGACTGAGGACTTGAAACATTTTCCAGTGAAATATTTCTGTTCTAGATTGAACAATATATGATGCAAAGCTAAATTATTCATAATAGTAACTGAATTGATCACGAAAGGCAATGTTGTTCTGCTTGCGTAGTGTGCAAGTTTGGCTTGCCTAACAAAGTGCAGGCACCTATCTTTCATGGCTGTAAGAGCGTAAGGTAGAGATTCTTCTACAGTTGTAACGCACCTATTTATGCCTCTCGTCAGCGACCGAAAGGGCCTTATAATGTAGTAGGAGTATAAATTAATTAGTGCGAGTCAACTGAATTTTTATGTTTTATTTAACCCAAATTTCTCAAATCTTCAAAGGTGCTGTTGTTTATTTTAGTTATTGTTTAAATAATTTCGTGCACGTACCCTGGTTTCAACTTCACTTTGCTTACCGAAATGCATTGCAACTTGGCGAGTGACTAGCTTTATTATTCTACTTAAGTAAGCTTCCAATATCAGTTGCTTTCTTTGTAATAGTTTTAGGAGTATATTACTGATTCCGATTACTGAACACAATGTCAAATTATTGATTCGAAAAAAAGATAGAGACAGCACGTACAATTACATGCACCGTCCAAATTCTTATTTGTTCGCTTCGCTCTCAATTTTCTGTGAGTTCTCTCCTGGCCGATGGAGACAAACCATATTGCCATGTTCCTGGTTATGCTCTAATCTATATCAAAAGATTCTCAAATACAATACTCACTTCGTTGAGAAATAGTATATGCCATATTAGTTCTTGACACGGTCTTTAATATTGACCTTTGACCATTTATTTCTTTTCAAATACATGCACACCTTATATTTTTCCAAATGAAAGAAGTACAAATTACATTTATAATAATCAAGGTTTATAAACTCGAGAATTTGTTTCTTTTAAAAGTAGAGGTGTTTGGGTAATTAATATGGAGCTCGAGAATTATATGAGCGGCTATTAACCTAGAAGCTAGAATCCATCCAGCTAGAAACTAGCTAAGGTGCTTGACAGGTAAGCTAATTTAGAATAGCACATTATCTATGCCATCTTAGTAACTCTTTACAACCTATGGGCAGCTAGAAATAATTCAAGGCATGCTGAGGCTCCGGACCATCATTCAGAAGTGGCTGAAAAGGTGCTTTTTTTAGTAGATTTTGATCCCTCAAGGGGATGTCCCCTCGTTGTTTACATGTTACTCAAATAGTTATGAAAAAAAATTGAGAAGATGTATTAATATGTGATATATTACTCCACAAACATGCAAGTTCAAATTCAACTTCTACATCTCGCAACAAAAAAAACAAATTTGACGGTGAATATACGTTAACTAGTTGTAGTTTTTTTTTTTTTGCGAGATGTAGAAGTTGAATTTGAACGTGCATGCTTGTAGAGTGATATATTACATGTTAATACATCTTCTCTAATTATTATTTAATTTTTTTCATGATTATTTGAGTGACATGCAAACAACGAATAGACATCCCTCGAGGGATCAAAATAGTTTCCTGCTTTTTCAACTAAAAAGGTTGGTCAACCTTAAGGAGCAAAAGAGCAAATGGATTAAGGTTAATGCGGATAGAGCTTTTTTTTCCTCACAACAGAAGGGAGCATCGGGGGTGGTCATTAATAATGCTTTGGGAAATTTTGTGGCTGCTGCAAATCATTTTTATCCAAGGGTAGATAGATGCCATGACGGCGGAAGTGCTAGCATGCAAGCGAGCTGCTAAACTGGCGATGGAGATGGGTACAGATAAAGTGATAATTGGAATAGATAGTTTAGAGGTGGTGAGGACAATTGTCCAACTCCTCGAGGACAGGCTGAAGAGGTTTCCAGAAATCAAGATCAAATGGGTGCAACAATCAGCGAATAAAGCTTACCCATTTAGTAGCAAAGAAAGGACACTTAACAGGTGCAACATCGACTTGGTTATCGGTTTCACATGAAAAGAGTAAAGGGATTTAGAAGTAGATCAAATTCAAACTCTAGAAAATTTCTCATGATATCATGTTACAAATCATCTAAATTAAATTCCTACAAAATGATGCGACCTATATGAATTTGGAGAGTTTCCAATTTCAAAGGTCTCGCGCAGCACAACTAGAGCAAATTGATTTAAGAGTTCCAACTTAATGCATGGCACCCGCAATCGTCATAGCTAGGGACAAAAACTGGCATGGGGCAGTTAGGTCTTGAGCCCCAAGTCTGGTTTCATAGTCTTAAAAAATACCATGTAATTTGTAAAAGTATTTGAACTCCTATTAGTTTACCTTTACGCGTGAATATTTTTTGGATTCGACACTGGATTTGCGTTTAGGCTCTAGACAGGTAGGCTACAGAATATGAAAATACACTTCTAGATGAACTGACCACGCTACCTCTACCGAAAATTCCACAACTATATATTGCCTTCACTCATTTATTTTTATTTTGTAAGTACTCAGTTTTCTTGGGACCAGTCGAAAATAATCCCCAAATTGATCCGTGATGTCAGCAAGAGCATGTCAGTATCATTTTGCTAGCTGTTTTGTGATCACGAGACACAAGTGCTGCTGTGATTCAACAACATTGCACAACATACACGAACAGATTAACGAATCGAATAATCATGGGCGGCCGGTCGTGTGAATTAGACTGAAAAAATAAATTAAAGGTCCATGCAGCATATATGGAGATTATTCTCTTGCCACTACGTATGGCGCCCGAAAGCGCCCGAGCGGAAGCTTCGTGGTGGCTGTCGACTTTCAATTTGATGTACAGCGATCTGCATACCTATATTCATAGCGGTTCGCTGCAAATTGACGTCGTTTTCAACAAAGGAATCCGCTTTGAGGGAGAGGTCAATGTGACGACACTGACCGGGATGCATGGACGCGACGACTGTACTTTGCACCGTTCTTTACATTTGTATGCGACCGCGACCATGGTATTCACTGTCGTCAGGACAGGATAGTTCTCTGGTTTAAAATTTGTTATTTTCATATCTCATAAGCAAAGTTGAATTTGATAAGATTTTCTATATATTTGTGTAACACCATCTACCCTACATGTGTGATATTTTTGTGTATTTTGATGATTTTTTGGTCAGGTTCACGAGAGTTTACATTACAGTTTGCATGAAACATTTTTCCATACATATCTTACCACTGCCTCCGTCGCTTTAAGTTTTTATTTGTAACGATTGATCATTTATTTTATTCAAAAAATTATGAAATTATTATTTATTGTCTGTGATTTGTTTTATTATCAAAATACTTTAAGTATGACTTATCTTTTTTTATATATACTAATTTTTTAAATAAGACAAATAGTCAAACATTACACGTAAAAAGCCAAAGCGACTACCAAAGACGGGTGCAGTAATAGTTAGTGCGGACGACACTCAATCAGTAAATTTGCAGGTTTAATTTCTACTAGATGCTTCAGTCTATTAGAAATCCAAATTTATTTAAGTCATCAGAGTCCAGAAAGTTTTACCCTACCATCAATGTACATAAGTGCAGAAAAATAAAAATAGAAAGTGCACATCCTTGATGTGCACCATTCAATAAAATGTAGCTCACGCATAGTAGAATGGTTGAAACATGATATGCTGCCAGTTCTATTTCAAAGATAATCTAGGTGGTACATCATGATGTTTCATTCTATCAAACTGATATTCTTTCCCAATCGAAATTCACCTTCTCAAACTGTAAAGAGCATATTCTGTTAACTAGTCAAGTTTTATTTACGGAACACGTCAGCTCAAGGCATACCGAAACAATTCGTGCGATACTTCGATTGAATTAAACTCCTGAACCATGGTAATAGCTGTGGAACTAATTCCAGTCCTCATTTGCACCTACCATGTAGAGTATTCAATAAACATGGTAGCCACATCGGCCATTGATGCAACTCGATGTAAACTGCAAGATGCAACTAAACAGATCAAACCTACAAAAAAAAAAAGCTAAGATGAACTTCCAGTCTTCCTAATGCCCATTCCTGGCACTACGCTCTTGGCGAATAGGTTAGCACAGAAGTTGACGAACAGTGGAGTTCTTGGTGTTGCTGCCTTGCCGAGAGCCTCTGCTATGTGCTATCACGTCAGATGTTTAAGATGCATGAACAGTCACATGCTACCCAGTTTCTTTTTGGCGGCTACACACTACCCAGTCAGGAGCTACATCGACAATGATATGTGAGCTGCCATTCCATCTATGATAGTTAACCAACAAATTTCATTATCATAGCTACACAATTTACAAAAATTACATGAGATTGTTATTTTGTACAATCCCGGGATAAAGAAGAGTGGTAATTTGGGCAAGTGACCTGACCAATGGTTTAAAACTGGAATGCTTCTCAGAAGCTGCAGACAATTTAAAGCGGCACTAAATCAGAACAGGGAGTAGAATGGGAAGTATACTGTTCAAGTGATAAATGTGAATTTATAAAAATGCTAGAATTTTCATTTCATGTTGTATAAGCCATTAAGTGAAGCTTACCATGAACCATAGCCTTAATTCCCTTGGAGAAATCTTCAAAACGACCCATCACTGGTCTGATGCCACATGATTGGGATACACACAATTCCATGTAAAGTGATGTTTCAAGTATCACCAACAGAAGTTGGCACACCCTCTCTGTCTCGGTATTGAGTGCAGTAGATACATTTGCCTCTAATACTTCAGTGACAATAGAAACCACTTGATCCTGAAAAGAGTGACCACAGCTGAAATAAGAGAAGTAATAAAAAAACAAATAGTACCTCCATCCCAGAATATAAGAAGTTTTAGGGTTGAACACGGTTATTAAAAAAGTAGGTATAATTAAATAGATAGAGGTTGTGATTAGTTGAGAAGTGGAGGTAGGTGAGGAAATTGAATGGAGGGTTGTGATTGGTTGGAAAGAGAATGTTGGTGTAGAAGTTATATTCTAAAATAAATTGTGTCAGAAGTTATTATATTTTGGGACGGAGAAAGTAGCAATTTTATGTGTCATGACACAGATTTGATCGTGGTCCTTCGAAAAAATTGGAGCATAATATTGTTTGTCACTTCAGAAATGGACTATAAGCTCTCCTTCCCAAAATATAACAACAGTAGAATTTAAATTGTCCCAAATAGAACAAGCTAGTACTTGTAAAAGTTGATTTTTACTACTAAACAACCCATACTACCCCTTGGTTTCATTATCACCCTAACTAGTCCAGGCCCACACAAGACCCACCCACCCCGAGGAGACATACAAGTCTTTTTACCCCTCTTCTTAATTAGACGTGCAAGGGCTAAAACTTGTTATATTTTGGGACAAATGGAGTAAGCTCTAAGCAGACAGCGCAAAGTGCAGATGGCAAGAGAAATAGCAGCCATCTTGCTGCTCGACAGCCCGTGTTCGATTCTCCTAAACGCACTCACCATTTCTTCCTAGAGTAAAATGCTAGAAAGAATACTCTCCTTAACACCGTTGGCACCAAGTTTCTCTGTAATGTCCGCTCAAACTAGGTGGTGGATTACTGAACAGAGAGACCATCAACAGTGAGATTAAATCTAAGTTTCTCCTTGGGTCCTACATTTTTATCTAAGATCTAAGGAACTCCAACTAGATGGTGGTTAATTGAACAGAGAGCTCATCAGTAGCAAGGATTAAATTCCCTTTGAACTATAATATATCAAACTAGATATCCTTCAAGCATTAGAACGGAAGTTTATTTCCTTGTGTTATAAGCGGCAAGGAATGTTTAAAAATTGCAATTAGATACAGGTACCAAAAAGTGCAAGCACAATGAGCATATATATAGTTTTTATATGGTGTTCTTTTTCTGTTAGTTTCACTCCCGGCCCTCTTATATCAGCCTTTGGGGCCCATGTAATAGATCAATTGTCCTCTTGCTAACAATGTAAAGATTCAAGGAGATTTAGAACACCATATATATCAGCTTACCAAGTTTTCATATTTACATTACAGTTTCCAACAATTGATACAATCAGCCAGACAGCCAGCAGGAAGGGTTCAGAGGAATAGTAATATTTACCTGCAGGCCGTGAAGAATATCTGGCATCGGAAGTTCTGGGAAATGAGCAAGGTCAAGGAACTCCAGTTCTTCTGCCCTTCTTACTGCCTCTTTTGCTTGACTGCATAGGAACTTCATAATAAGAAAAGCAATCCTATAGATTTGTACTGCTAACATCTCTGTAAAACGAGTCTGCTTCATAGAATCAGAATCCGCTGGATTTTTGTCTCTAATCACAAGTGACAATCCTGCATTGGGAGGACCAGAGACAGATGGAGTTGACAAAGTACAACTTGCAGCAAATCGGAACCATCCATATTTGCTCCTAATAAGTGGTGGCTCTTCATTAAGCTTCATTTCCTCTTTAATAATAGGAGGACAACCAAAGGATAAGTTCCAGTTTGGGGAATCACCGGTTCTTTCACTACCTCTGCTTATAAATGCAAGCAGGTGGATAATAATCTCCCTTAATTCTGAATCTACTTCCTTCATACCTGTGTCCCGTGGGAAATGGTACTTGGCCAAAATACAGAGAAGTGTGAGAATATTCTCAGTAAGACTGAGAGCTGAAAGTGATGTCTGTGACTTTTGTAACAGTGTCCTTTTCTTGCTCTGATGAGTGTTAACACTTTGTGCAGATAGATAAGACGACATCAAAGGCACTTGCCCTGAAAGGAAGCTGATAGTACTGTTTGCAACACTGTTGCGGGAAATATCATCATCCATGCAATGGTTCAAAGAGGAGACAATAGCAAGACCCAAACCCCAAATTTTCACATCCTTTGTTTGGGTGCTCAAGGAATTTCTCAAACAGGAGTCATCCAAAGACATCTGACTCAGAAGGACCTTTATGAAAGCAAAAATATTGGCAGACTGAAGAATTTTAGCACCGTCCTTTGTCCGCCCCATAGTCAAGAGGAAATTCAATATGACTTGAGTACACAATAAAGCCCCACTTTGGCACTTTTGCAGTATAACCTGGAGACGAAAATGCTTTTGTAGAATAGGCACCCATACATTAGAAGGCAAAAAGCCTTTCAATATTATGTCCATTGATGCAATAGCAAGATCAAAATATTCTCTGCTCTCTGCCAATTTGCATAATACAGGTAACAAGCTCATACTTAAAAGGGATAACTCCCCAAATATATTGACATCTTCAGATCCATCTTTCATGTCAACCTTCTTGTAAATGAATTCAAATAATGACAAAAGCAGAACAAGGAGGGACTTCACTGGTTGCTTAAGAGCAGGACTGGATGGCATGAGATTAAACAAAAAGGAAGTGCTGGCACCTGAAGTTTTCATGAGTAGTACAATAACTGGATAAAGATGCCTTGAACTTTTGCTTTGTTTAGCATGGTCAAGTAAGATCCTGGTGATAGTAAGCAACAATTCCACTTGTCCAGACAAGGGAGGAAACAAAACCCCACTGTTATCAACCTCAGGAGGGAGGGAGTCAACAGCTGACTGCAGAGATTTGCATGCACATCTAACCGCTGATTGTGTAGTTGTTATTGAAATCCCTCCACCAGGTAAGCCAAACTTCTTATATGAACTCTGTAAAAGTTTCAAGATAAGAAGGCAACTAGAATCACTGGTATGCATGAAAGATCCAAGAAACCATCTAGCTTTCTAGTTTACTCTGGCAGGTCACTTGGACATATTCAAGGAGAAATTGTTCAATTATCAAAGGAGAAAATAGAGAACAGTGCGCAGAAATAATGTCAAAACAAAATTCCATGACACACTAATGGAAGTTGATGGAATTGCAAAGATGATTTCAGCATATTCAGAAACATATAGTTCAGTAATGAAAGGTGAAAGTAGAAAACAGTACACAGAACTAGTGTCAACAACAAAAGCAAGGATCTTAATATGTACAAACTTACTGTTCCAGTGCATACTGACAGAAATGTTATGAATGACCTCAACGCGCAAAGCTTTGCATCAACTTGACATTTCATCAGGTTTGCTTTATGCATGATATCCAGCATCTTTTCAGCTACTTCTTTATAAGTCTTCCAGTCTGAATGATTCCAAAGTTCAAGGCCAAGTTCATCACGTATGTGAGGAACATCAAACAAAGAAACGCCATTGGCAGCTGGGAAACTTTTCTGTAGTTGCTCCGAAGGATTGTGTTCAAAAACTTTAAATTCTAGAAGGAAGCATAGCAGCTCCTGAAACGGACCAGGAGTAATTGGACGACCTTCGAGTTCTCCATGTATATGATAGTAAAGATCACTAATTATCAAATTGGTAATATCTTGTTCACCGCTGCATTTTTCAAGGAGGTAAAAATCAAACTCAAAGCAATGTTGCAAAATTATTGTGGTACATATCTGACATTAATACCAAGCCAGCACAATGCTTCAGTCAGCATAAAGAAAAAAGAACTAGCTACTAGGAAATAGGAATTCTAATGTTTCAATAGGCTAACTGTATACCATTTCATTAGTTTCAGGTCCCCATCGGTTGGTAATGACTTATTATAAGCCATAATGACTTATTAGCGATTAAAAAATAATATGCGAGTAAAACTTTTGTATATATGTTCGTAGTGATTGAAAAGCCAAAGCTAAGAAACAACTATGTTGAAAAAGCATCAAAATCAAATTCAAAATCAAGTTTAAAATTTAAATTTTGGCTTTGGCTTATAAGTCATAGGGCAAACGATGAGGCCCTAAAAATTTTGTAAAATCTTCCAGGAGTCATAGGTTTTCCAAAAAGAACACCTACTAAACACCCAACAAATATTTGAAAGCTTTTGCTGATTTTAAATATGTCAAACGGCAGTCATGGAATATGCAGCAAACAATGAACTGGCTTATACAAATCCACTAAAAATGTGTTTGGTATGCCAGCCATGCTGATGTACGCCAGCAGCCCACCCTCTACTGTGTCTCATAGAGAGATGTTCTGCGAGAGAGAGAGAGAGAGAGAATTGCACTTTGTACCGGGTAAAGTGCACCTTGTTTCACTTTGCACCAGGTTTAGCACATACTTTCACTTTGCACCAGGGTTCATTGATTTAAGTTTCACTTAACACCAGGATACATCATTAAATATACAATATTTTCATGAAATTTCATAAATGTTGAATAAATCCTCATCAAACATGGTCTAAATTCAAAATGATTTTATATTTTTTAATCATATTTTACAAGATATTCTTTAATATATGATACAACACCTAGTGCAAAGTGAAACTTATTTCAATATATCCTGGTGTAAAGTGGAAGTATATACTAAACCCGGTGCAAAGTGAAACAAGCTTTACCTGGTGCAATGTGCAATTTAAGCAGCCATATGTCGTGCAAGAAGTTTGGTTCATCCATAAATATCAGCATCTAAAATGGTGAGTGAATGCCTGTTCTAATGAATCATAAATTAATCAGGTAAAGTTGTATGGTATTATGGTGTACAAGTGTGGAAAAACACACCATTGAATTCCAAAGGGTCCTATGAGTTATTTTAGCAAATGTCTTTTCTGGTTTTGTCTCTTCATGTCAGCTTCACGTTGAATGCTGACAAAGTGACAGGCGGAAATTAAAATTTCAATATACTAGACTTGACAACCAAAACATACATAGTTACAGACTCGTAATTCTCATCAAGTATTTTGTACACACAAATTAAGCCCATAAAAGAACCATTAAGATGCAAACAAAAATTACACGTAAAATGGAACAAAAATTACCTGTAACCATGAAGGGCATATTGTGACAGTAGAGCTACAAATGCACGGTGTTGTAACAACTGCACCAGATAGAAAAGTTTAAGAGAGATTACTCGGCAGCTGAAAACAGTGTAAAAAACTCATAAAATCAGATAGCCAAAATATGCAATAACATTATTCCCTAACTCATAAAATCAGCATCCTTCAAACTAGTTTACGCAGTACCTTAACCATCACATAAACCCCAGGGTTACAAAGTCAAAGATTGGCACACAACCAAAAGCGGTAGTATGGGGTTCTCAAAACTACAGGCCGGTGATGGGAACTTTCTTAAGAAAATACTCCCTCCGGACATAATTAACTGATGTTTAGGACAACAAAATTACAAAGAAAACAAGGCAAAATGTTTGTCCGAAACAACAAATAAAACTGACCGAGGTAGTAGTTCTATGATATTTGTTCTCAAATCTAAAGCACCATGATAGATAAGCGGACAAAATTTAGGTTTTGAAGTTTACTCACACCAACACCCCAGACTATTTCTGTCCACATCCTAATATGTAGCATATGTCCATATCATGTAACAACTGCATATAAGATTAGTTTCTATTTAAGAAACAATACAGAGTAAGAGTATTCAACCCGATGTGATGAAAAAAAAGATCAAAACAACCCATGCCCATTCCTAGCCCTATGATACAACCAAATTACTTCAGGAATAGAGATGACGCAGCAGCACATGTAACCTGAGTCGTGCTGTAGTGATGCAACCATGCATGGAGAGAAAACCAAATGTTGACATGCACCAGTTTGCAAGTGAGCAAGAATATGAGTTGCAATTGCTGATTTGTCATGTCAGGAGCCTTTATTTTGTAATTTGTCCCACAACAAAAGAAAAATAGTTTGGATTGTATGATGAGTTCACATGTCATTTTATGCCCACTTCCCTAAATAATAATAAAATGCTAGTGCTTATCCAAAGACCAAGACATCTAGAAGGTACTTGACATGGTTTTGCTCAGCACCAAATCATCAAAAAATATAGAGAAAATAAGTTATTTTCCTTTTGCTGGTTACATCTCTCTCTATTCATCATAGGCACCATACTGAACTATCAAGTTTTGGACAACTGAAGTTGGTTCAGTTTAGTTGTTTTTCTAGGCAAACCAGAGGTTATGAACCTATGCGAACCAAGCCAATATTTGCGCACAGATTCAAGACTTCTATTCCAAGTATACTGCATAGAGCATGTGTAACGACTTGGCGGCGGTCCCCAGCTACACAGGGTGTAGTCGTGCTCAACAAGAGGAAGGGATTGAGTTCCCTGTCTCTCAGGAGCTGTCATGGCATCGGACACCAAGAACAGAGATTTGCAGAGACGAGATCGAGATATTGGAAAGGAGATAATTCTTGCTTAATCCAAATGAGAGGTCATTGGCTTACGCTGAACTAATACAAACTGAACTAATTTGAGAACAAACCAATCTAATAAAAACGGATAATGAACCTAACCTTGACCTAAGCCAAAGAAAGCGTTGGCGTCTGTCGACTGAGCGCGGTCACCATGTCGCCGGTGTGTCCAGTGCACCTGGTTTCCTGTGCTTGCTATACGTGGTCCCCCACATAACAGTGTGCGTGCACCAGCACACATGTGTGTTAACTATAAATAGCCATTTTAAGGTCCATTGTTATTTCAAATTCTTAATATGAATTGTGCTTTTAGAAGAGATGGCCTTTTGGTGTTACCTTATAGTGCCTTGGAGATAAGTGTAAGTTAAACATATAGAGTATTAGCATTTGTATGGATATTTGAGATAACACTTCTACAAGTTAGACTACTTGCAATTTTTATATGCAAAGAATGGTTGCAGGGTCATCATAGTATGTGTTCGATCTACATTAGATTGTAAGTGTTGCTTATCTTTTGGCACAAGTAACTCATGGTTGCCCATTCATGCTACTTACTCTAGTGCATCAGAAGAATAGAAGTTACATGTGTTATTTTAGAGCCACGGCTAAACACATTAACCCTAGAAGGTTGATCTAACATTACTCATCCCATTCACCATCTGACTTCCAAAAAATCAGAGGCCACCCTTACATTCATAAACTTTATGTTTCCATATCGCCTTATTGTCTATGAAACAGTCAGCCCTATGCCTATCGTATTTTTATATGGAGCCATAAAACCCAAATCTATGACTATTGGAAATACCACACCGCCACAGCCATATCACACGCTGATGTTAAATATAGAAATGATAAGATATCAAAGCGGATAACTTACTTTACTAGATATGAGCTGAATCTTCTTCACTAGCGAGAATGACAAGCTTCCAGTATCACCACTGGACAGCTTTGTTAATAGACGGATAATGCAAAGGCAGGATGCTACCTGGCACAGGAAAGATGATATCAACAACAACGCTTATATATACGAGTAGAAACCAGAAGTTGCTCTTTATAAAAACATACTACCTCCGTTTTTTAATAGATGACGCTGTTGACTTTTTCTCACATGTTTGACCATTAGTCTTATTCAAAAATTTTATGCAAATGTATAAGATATAAATCACACTTAAAGTACTATGAGTGATAAAACAACTCATAACAAAATAAATTATAATTACGTAAATTTTTTGAATAAGACGAATGGTCAAACATGTGAGAAAAAGTCAACGGCGTCATCTATTAAAAAACAGAGGGAGTACAAAATGATATAATTGTACTGCAAACACATATCAATATTTATAAGCCTATATAAGTCACAATGCGTGCTAAGGAAGTCAGATAACCAATGAGTGACCAAAAATCTCTTGGGCGTAAAACAATAAAAGTTCAAAATAACAAAACAACATTCTCTTCACTTTATTTCAGAAGTCAAGAACTGGAAAGTTACCTTAGCACGATGAAGAAGATCATTTTGGTACCCATTACTTGATAGATGATTTACCAAATCCTCCATAGTCGTGCTATCAAACCATTTGAGCACTATGTCACTTGGACAAGGTGCAACAGAAGGTTCTTTTTGCTCCTTTGAACCAACAGGGGCAGGATCAGAAGTTTTTGTTTCTGTAAGCAACTTTCCTTGCAAGAACAACTCATATGACATGATCTCAAAAATTGTACCAAGACAACAATATCTGCATATGCAAAACCTTGCTTTATCATTCTGAGAACCATGGTATTAAATCTTATCTATGAAAGGTTGTATTTAATATCAAATTCTGAAACAGGATCCAGTCGATAACAAAAAACTGAGACCAGTCAAATTGGATTCATATGATGAAACCATCACTGGTGGCTTCAAACCCAAAAATGTTTTAAATTTTAAAAGAAATATTATTCGATAGAACTCTTGGCAGATATTACAGTTAGCATGTAGGAAATGGAAAGCTAAAGCATGATGACCATACCTCAAAGATTTTTTTTCATCAACAGTCTCAACGCTGTCGATAGGGTAACTAGCAAAAGCAGCACGAATACAGCATGATAAGTTCTCCCAGAATGTTCTAGAACTTCTCAGTTTCTCTAAAATGTATATAAATTGAGCACCACTTTCCCATAATGCCTTCAGTAGATCAAGAACACCTGATAATATAGAAGGAGATCTGAAAATAACATTGTTCAGCTCAACCACACGCATAAAATAGAAGAGCAAAAGTATCAGCACTAGAATAAAAGGTGCAACAATTAAAGCGAAGACTCTGGAAATGAGGCAGTGGAAATACTCTTCTGGGGTAAAAAATTATGTTTCTGACCTACCAAGATTTGACTCTTCAACCTTTGCTTCAAGGGAACACAAGATGAAGCACAAAGAAACAGTGAGAAATGTCAAAGAATCCTTTACCTATCCATAAGCTCAGTGGATCGTCCAATATAACCCAAGATTTGCTCAACAAGTCTAGGATTGCTTCCTGAAGGGTTCAGAACAAAATATTTACTGCTCTGCTCATGAGCGGAATTATCAGAATCTGCTTGCGCCCTTGTACTCTGTTCTATCAAGGAAATAAGAAGAGCAGGCTGCAACAAAAAAAAATGGCGAAGTTAACCTGTGGCTCTCTTCGGTCATAAATATTTGGCATTTCCAACAAGATTCAGTCAAACATTTGAAACTTGGATTGAATCATCAATAACTTCTCAAATGCTTAGCATAAATATGGAACAATGGTATCCGTAGATTCCTTCAAAAGTACTATCATAATAATTTTGATTGTCAAAAAGTTTTAAAAGTTTAATCCAAAATCTTGTCCCAACTCCCAAACGTCAAATATCTATGAGACAGGAGGGAGTACATGTAAAATATTTAGTTATTTAGTTTTATGTAAAAAAATCATTTAAAAGATTTAAACAAGACCTAGGAAGAAAGATCTTGTCCTCGACATATATCAACAAACAACGATGCTCTGTCCCCAATACAAACTTATCCCTATATGGCCACTACCAATAAGGTAACTCATATGACAATTCTTTTCTTAAGATGTTAGACTTCTTCATGGGCAGCCCAGCCTGGCAGCCCAATACCCCTAGGACTTTGATTTCATCCAGCCCCACAGATTAGTAACAAATGAGGGAAGTGCCGCTAGTCTCAAGCAGGTCAGAAAATTCCTATTTGTTCACCCATCCCAACCACCATGCTATGTACCTAAACCTAGCTATCCACACAATGGAATTCACTTGGTGTGACAACATCGTCTTCCAGTTTAGGCTCTGGTTGCCAGGGATCACCGCTTATTTTCCACTTTACCTCCTGGCAAGTGAACCCTCAACCATACAAGCGCAACATCAGCTCTCTGAGCCTACATGGCTACAGCATGGTATAAGCCATATTCACAAGACCAATTTGGTACATGCAAGATCTAAGGGCATATGAGATTTAATGCTAATTCTTTTGATCTTTGCCTTAGATTGTGTGCATATAATTTCTGGATCGGTCTGTCTTTTTTTACTGTAGATAAAAAATTGATGGTTTCCTTGTTTAGCACTCCATCTGTCCCAAATAACTCCATTTTTAGCCTTGGGTGTTCAAAATAAGGTGGAGGGATAAACACCAAAGTGTCCCTCTTAAGTCTTAATAGGATATTAGTATTGGTGGGTGGGTGGGTGGGTAAGGCAAGTAAGTGGTATTGAAGGAAAAAAAACTCATAGATTTGCAGAAATAAGCTTATTTTGAGACAAATGGTAGAGGCTAGAAATGGGATGGAGGGAGTTTTTCAGGCCCAACTCAGCATTGATGGAGGTACATGTAGGAATATTGAATGGATTTCTTGTTTACTACTACCTCCGTCCCAAAATGTTGCTACCTAGGGTGGGATTTGACCTATACTCTGTCCAGATTCATTGTCCTAAGATGGATCGAATCCCATCCTAGGTAGCAAAATTTTGGGACGGAGGAAGTACCTTTATGAACTGATGACTTTCATGAAGCTATTTGATTGTAGCACCTCAAGCTGGTTCTAGAATGGCATTTTGGGCTTAGGAAAGTGTGCAAACTCAACGATAAGGCTGAGCTCAGGCTTGGCGCTGTGACAACTTTTCAGGCACAACCCAGTATTTGAATAGGTCTATGCTAGGATCTGGGGGAGGACCCAGGTGTCTAAGGGCCTGTTTGGTAGAGCTCCCAACTCCTAAATTTAGCTCCACGAGTTAGGTCTGGAGTGGAGTTGTGGAGCAGCCTAAACCCAGCTCCACCTCTCTAGTTCATTTTGTGAGAACGCTCCACCCAACTCTGCTCCCATTTTAGGTGGAGTGAACTGTTTGGCTGGGCTCCAACTCCAAAAGAGGTGGAGCCCTGGAACTGTGCCAAACAGGCCCTAAGATGGCAGCTGTACTCGACTAAAGGGTGATGCCGATATCCTCACCCCTTCAAGCAGTAACAAACATAGGACCAGGGGAATGGAAGGAAAATGGGAACTTAACTTCGGGTTGATTCCATTGATCTGACATCACCTTTATATAAAGACAGAGGACAACAAACTCCTAACTAGTATATAACCAACCTTTAGTAAACAAGTCTTATCTAAAGGAAAACTAATCCTATAAGGTATTAAGGTCAATCGAAACAAAAACATGATTTACTGCATTGGCGATGGAAACGGCTGCTTCCCATGCCTAGCATAAGTGTGCCCCCACATTAACAAGTTTGAGAAAAAAAATAGGCAGTGGCAATCATCTCAGTGATGGAGTCTTCCATAGAAATAGGGAAACGCAAACAGCTGACCGCTATAAAAGAATAAACTCGTCTAAATAGAAAACGAGTGCATATGGCATGTTCTACACTGTTGGAATAAAATAGTGACAAATTTTCATGGATTATATAGAGCATGCACGCACACAATGAAAAAGGACCATCTACAGAATAAACAATACCTGATAACGAGCAGCAGAAGACAGAAGGTTGAATATAGCAACAACCTCATTGACTTTGTCTACCTCATCAAGAATGCAGGAAATACTTGTTTGCAGTCTCCAAATCTGAGAACAATAAGTTAAGGGAAAAAGAAGAATTAATGATGTCAACACACCAAGGTTAATAAAAATCAATTGCACGGAACACCATGACAGTCAAACAAATATTAGGTAACACTGCTGCTAACCTCTGAACCATTAACAACAAAGTAGGCATTTTCCATGAGTTGAGGTTGTGCTTTATAAGCAGTGAAGCACAGCATTGAAAATACTCTAGCGGCTGCAACTTGTATAGCCTTGAGAAATATATCAGTATTGTCAGTGTCCCAAGGCTTATGGAAGTTACGAGAAATAGCATACAACAGAAAAGTAAAGGAAGAAAGAAAAAGCTTCATGGACAATCTTTTTTTCAGGATAGCAATTTATGCAATTTTGTGACCAACTTGGCCTTAACAAATTGTTTAGGTTACAGCAACACTATATAAATGCATGCAAACAAAAGTATTGGACATTTCTAGATGGAATAGCCTGTTCTTAGGCAAAAGATGTCCAATGCACAGATCCCCATAAATTCATGATGCTGAATCTAGACATATATATGTCTAGATTTATTAACATCTATATGAATTTAGGCAATGCTAGAATGGCTTACATTATGAAACGGAGGAAGTAGCTTTTACTCAAAAAGGGAGAAATGAAAATCGAAGGCACAAAAAAGTTCATTGTTTTACTTTATTTGAAGTTCTATTGTTGTCCTCACTGTTTGAACAAGCATAATGTGATTGGGATAATATTTTGATGAATGCAAGTTGTAAATGGAAGATGATGCATGTGCGCATTTCTATGGATGGCTGGCCTGTAGCATACAGGAACCCATCAAACTATCCAACAATGACATTAACCAAAGCTAATTAGATAGACAAATATTACCAATATAATTTGATCCAGAAAACCTACCAGGTGGCCATATTGTCTAGATAGGACTTACAAGAGGAGGTGCAAGCTGTGCACTGATCCTCTTGAGCTACATCTCTAAGGCAAGTTGCATGACAGGGAGGGGTATAATGTCATCAATGGAACCCAACACTTTGGTTCAGTGCATGGCAAGATTAGGTATTTAGGTTGTTTTACATACCAGTTGGTTGTTCTATCACTAGAGATATCGTTATATATGGATTTAGACAAGGATGTCATCCATGCAGGCCCAGCTAATCAACCAAAAGTTAAGCAAATCTCTCCATCTCCTCATGTCACCCGCAACAGTGATACTTCTTCTATCTGTTGCTTATCCCTCCAATCTCTACCACAGATACCCTTCCCAAAAGTTAGCACATAACAACTATATTGCTTAATGAGAATACAAAGTTATAATTTTTCAGGGGGAAACCACAAAGTTAAAATCAATATAAAAAAACAAAAACTTACTGAATTCTGAAAGGACATCAATGATATTGCAGCTGTGACGAAAGGCAATGGTTTTGACGAGGACGACAAAACCATAGTAACGAAAGGCGGACTTGGAACCAACTCCTGAATATTGACAAGAATTAAGAGAAACATGAGTAAAGTTATAAAACTCTGTATTTTAAAGGACTTGATCATAACATCAGTGATAAAGAAATGAACATATAATAATCAAATATATATTTGAGACAAGGATAAGAATGGAACTCAATTTTAGTTTAGAACATGTTTTGTCAATTTTGATTTCAAGCCACAAGAAGGGCCTCACAGACTAATGTTAATGTTAAAAAGTCTACATAACTGCCTCATAGACCTCTTTGCCCCTTATGTCAGCTGCGGAGGAAATAATCACGGCGCAAAGTAAAGGGTTTGGCTACACCACCCACCATGGCATGCCAGACAGCTGTAACATCATGGTTGGCGGCGCTGTGTTGTTTTGCTCCCCCGAACTATTTCACTGGTGCACTTAACCCTAAACTATTTTTTGGCTCAATTTACACCCCGTCAACCCCGAACTATTGAAAACGCTCACTCCCCCCACCCCCACCCCCACCCCCGCAAACACTATTTATCTTTTTTAGTTCTCACTGTATAAGTCATATTTTGTACTGAAATTTTGGTAGAATATTGATGCATCCACAACTTACGTCTCAACATTCTTTTTGATTTTTTTTCTCGCTGTTTACATAGGTTGAAAGCACTTCAAACTGATTTAAACATCAAAATTTAAAGTTCGAGCAAACGCCATGAAAAATTTCAAAATATTTTTGAACTTTTGGTAAAGAGTAACAAAAAAGAGAAATGTTATTAAGGAGTAAAATGAACCCTTTTTAATAGTTTAGGGGATAAATGAGCCAAGAAATACTTCAGGGGGTTAAGTGATCCATTGAATTAGTTTGGGGGAGTAAAATGCACTTTTTTTCTTTTTAAAATTAAGTTTCGGATGGTTTGTCTTAAATATCTGTCTGGAAAAGGTTGTCTATGGCTGATGGCCGTGTTCCATATAGAAGTAACAAAGATCAGGCAATGATGGAAGTAATTGTTTGATTACTTATTATTTGCAACCGTCGAATGTGATGACTAGGTTTGTAGTTTAGTAACTGAAGAGAGATTATACAAGGATCCCAGAGAATTCAGAAAAATAAAGTAAGACATTTTATCTGATTATCTGATAGTTGGAGCTTGTTAACTTAAGGTGAAAAAAGAGCACAGTAATATCATGCATTTTTTACCTCTGGTAAGTTGGACAGCATATAAAATACAATATCAAATCCACAGCAAAGGACAAGCTGTATATCTTCAATATCCTTAAGATCATGACAATAGCTGCCATGCGAGTGCTGAAAAATTTTAACAGTTTGTCACAGAAAAGGTAATGAAGCTAAATCATGTATAACATAATTGCTCAAGGAAAGAAAGCTTACTTCCAGTAATTGCGTTGACATGGACAAAATATGCAAAAGAACACTGTGGATAGAAGAATCATACAATAGAATTTCCCAAATGATGCCACCAAGCTTTGATGAGAATGATTTGACTTGAATACAGCTCTTTACCAAATCAAACACCTTGAAATCACATTGAAATGGTCCGTTCTTATTTTCTCATTCATGAATAGAACTAATGAAAAAAGAATCTTAACACTATCTCTTGAACAAATTAAGTGAAACATAATTTATTTTCCAAACCATTGACTTGGACCAACAAAAAGGAGGCAAAACCATGTGAAGTCAATGAGACCTAACAAATAAAGTGGTCACCTCACAAACAATCAAACAAATTAAAAATATATGTACCTTAAGGGTTATCTTCCAGCGACTATAACTCTTGTATTTCCAGTTCATATGATTAACCATGATGTATTGAACTGAAAATATAATGAATGATGATATTATATCATCAGCAGCAGCTCCTTTCCGCAAAACCTGGATGGCAAAATCAAGCACTAAAAAAATATAGCAAATCATCAGATCATCATATGTACAGAAAATAATTATGAATATATAATGCATATAGGAAAGCAGATACTGAGCAGTGAGCACTGCATAATTAATTAACAGAGAAGAAATCTCACATAAATTTAATAAGAAATATTAGAAACCAATTTATAACTTCAGAGATAGCAAGATTGCATACCTGTAGTTGTAAGTGAAGAACAGTCTCCACTATCCTCAGAGGTAGCAAAAAGCATTCTTGCTAGCGCACCAGAAAGAAGCCAATCACTGCAGAGAAAACTGTAGTTTTCACTTTTTTGTTTTTTTCTCATATCTACAGTTTCATGCAGAAAAAACCACAGCAGCTGGAAATACATAAGAACTAAACAGACTTGGAACTTTTTAAGATTAGTTTACTCCAAGCCATTTCACCATGAAAGTTAATTTTCTTTACAGATGTTTCACAATGCAAGTTCCTTGAGGAAACCAAGAGTATAGCTGTTTCAAAATGACCACTATTTACCCTTGCAGTCATGTAGTGAAAGTTATTTCGAAATGACCACTATTTCCCCTTGCAGTCATGTAGTGAACAGGTTGATCGGTTGCAGTATGCCATTCAACAAAGGCATTAGTTGAGTATGGTCAATGTCACTGACTTTAATTAAGAAACTTTTTCTGCATGATCAGCTTGGGCTCGTATGGTGAAACAATGTTTACAAGTACAGCAGACAATGATAGTTTAGTTCAAAATGCCCGAAAGCCCATTTAACTCACTGTAAAAGGGTGTTAAAAAAAATTACACTATGCATGAAAGTATGACCATCATGACCATGGTCATCCCAATAATTGAACTTAAAAAGGTGATCCATACATAATTAAGAAGCAGTGAACTATTGACTTTGAAAAATTCAAATATTGATGATAGTTGGAAATATAGAACAACTTTTGTTTCAGAATACATAAATAATGTACCAATAAACGGTTGTATACAGCAAAAAACAAGGTATATTAGCCTATTTTCCTTTTGGACTCTTTTTCCTTCTTGTTAATATAATGGTGCGCAATTCTCCTGCGCATTCGAGGAAAAGAAAAGGTATATTAGCCTATTTACCAATTCCCGTACACTAGATTACCTTGAAGCAACACCAGATTGTGTAATGAAGAAGCCACAGTCCAACGCCACATTGAACACATGGTATGGAACACTGAAAAGACAAACTCCTTAGCCAAAATAATTTACAACAAACAGATAGTCAAGGCTTTAATAGAAGAAAAGGAATACTTCAACACTACTTATTCAAAACAGAAACAAACCAAGAGGCAAATCAGCTTACCAACTGAGCATTTCTGCCAGCATGCCAAGGGTTTTGGACATTACACAAGCATTATTAAAATCTTCCACATATTTGAAAATGGATGTGCAAAAAATTTTAGCAATATCAATCCTGAGAAGGGAAAAATATAATATATTATTCTCATTCCAAGGGATGTATTCAGCGTGAATAAATGTTTCAGACCCATATTCTCTAAAAGACAAAAGTTTCAAACCTGACATGCTTGTCAATATACCCCAAGTTCTGTGACGCTTGGACAGCTAGCGACTTGTCAGCATGCAGCAAAGCAAGGCACAAATCCTACAGAAAGTAAACTATGCATATTCAAGGCTCAAAATTAAATGGAGATAAGGTTGTGGAATACAGCACTAAAAACTGCAATATATTCAACAGCATGAAAAACAAATGAAGATCCCATTTGTTAAGGTGGAATTTTATCAAAAGAAGGGGTAAGTAACTTAGTTCATCGTCAAGAAACAGATTTAGAAACAAGCAATTCAAGATGTAGGGTGAAAAATAAAGGATCAGTACCCTGTTTGATGATACCATCTTATATAGTAGGTCCATTATAGCACAAGCTTCCTCGTAATTGCATGCATGAAGATCTTGTGCCAAAATTACAAGCAAAAAGAGGACACCTGAATGTGGAAACTAGATAAAAATGAGCCAGCAGCTCATGTCAGATAAACAATTCAGTACATCCATTAAAAAAATTAAGCACTATGGCAGTTATGAAAGATTTTTGCTTCTCAAGGTACAACAAAACCAAGTACAGACCAGGGACACATACATTTAAAGTAGTTCAAATTGTGCACGCCTTCCCTGATTTCAATCTATACATCCTAGTATTATATATTATTACTATATTGCAGTTGTACTATAGTTATTCATGTATACGGCTAGGCTTTCATTTCTATAGAAGACAAAAATTATGAAACTAGCAAGTACATATATACTGGTGAATTGTTGAGGCGATTCATCTCTTTGTTGATCCTTGTGGTCTCTACATGTGCTAGTCCCCTCTTTCAAGATCAAATGTATGAGTTCCTATTAATTGTTTTTGTTTGATGAAACATTGAGCTAAGATTGACACTGTATGCAAGACATATCCTGCCATAAAACATCAGCCTCGTCATGGAGTTTACTTCTATCTTTTGAAGAAAAATCCAATACTTATTGTGATGATGAATCGGTATTACAAGGCTTTGGGTAATCCTACATACAAAATGTCATATAGGCTGGAACATCAATCTTATAGTACTCTCTAGCTACAATCGGATGGTTAGGTAGGAAGCTATTTCTTAGGATTGATTTGGTTCCTATTATGTGTCTTCGGTAAAATACAAAATTTGCTTATTTGTTAACACTTAATCCATCAGTTGTCAGGGCTTATTTGTTCAATTATCACGCAATACATAAAAAAATCACCGATATTTCTCCCAAATCTATTACTCATCCTAGGCAAGGTGAACTAGCTTAACAAAAATCTATCTACCTTGCGCAGTTGCACTATCTTGTCTAACCACTAACCAATCTTGGAAAAGGTCCATTTTACTCCCTCGGACTATTCTCCAGACCACTTAACAAGTGAACTATTTTTCCAGCAAATTTCAAAACCCACCACTGAACTACTAAAAAATGGCTCAGTTTACTCCATAATGGCAATCTGTTTTGTTTTTTTCTCCATAATAAAGCATGTTTTAAGCTAAAATTTTTTAGAGCCATAGATGACAACGTAAAGTATGTTAAAAAAATAAGTTCATTTTTTCCATAGCAGTTTGTATACAGTTTTAAATCTCTCCCAACCAATGCAAATAGTGGCTTAATTTTTTTAAAAAAAAAGTTAAGACATACTCCCTCCGTCCCAAAATAAAAAAAAACTAGGATAGGATGGAGGTTATGTCCCATCCAATCCTAGGTTTGTTTATTTTGGGACGGAGGGAGTAAGGTACAATGCTATGTATCATCCCACAAAATATCAAAGTAAAACACAACTTACAGAGTAATAACAAAGAAAAATGTCATTAGGCAGTTAAGTGAACTGTTTTCAGAGAGGGGGGGGGTAAAGTGAGCTGAAATCTAGGGGTAAAGTTCTGTGTCAAAAAAAGTTCAAGGGAGTAGAATAAACTTTTCCCTTCTATTTTCAGTCATCACTACCAGTTCCTTCTCTATGGTGTTTACATCATTATAATTAAACACAGGGCACAATGAAACAAAACATGCAACTGATTTCGTTAGACAAGAATGCCTTGCTAACATTTTTTCTATCGGAAAAAGAAAGAATATCAGGTAAGTAGAATAGAGAAGGTATTTTACCTCCCAGCGAACTAATGCAACATCATCTTCAAGAACTTTCAAGATGTAGCCATGGCTTCCACCGGGAATTGTAGTTCCTTCAATACCAAAAATGCTGATTGGACTATGAATTTCAATTTGATCATGATAGTTCACATTGTCTGTATCACTCCTAGGGACTGCATACAACGTAGTCACCCCATTCATCCTCTCAAGGTAATTAAATCTGCAACAAAGTAACCCCAGAAAATATTTATTATAGGTAGAACAGTATTGCAGGTGACCAAAAAATATAGAAACTACAAGTACTGTGTGATTATGAATGGCTAAGGAATATTATAATAGTCAATTTTGTGTCACCGGACCCAAAAAATCTGTACATCACCATATAGACATCTCTTATTACAATTTAGGACATCTCAATTAGAAGGACGATGCTAAATAATGACAAAATGGTATACTGTGAACCAAAATTAATGAGCTAACAGCTTTCGGGTACCAAGTGAATGTTTCAGGTGGTAATGGTATTCAAGGCATAAGACCTGCAGGTTTTAAACGCCAAGTGTAATGTTTTAGGCAAGTTCAATATAAATATTACAAATATAAATATTCACAAAGGATCCAGCATACTTCAAACGTGTTGATTAAACAGGTATTTTCCATTGCCACATCAGCTTTGCAGCATCGTTGTCAGTTGTCACAAGTACCATGATGGTATCACAACACCATCAAGTATGGTGGTGGTGGTGGGGGGGTGTTTGGGGGGGAGAAAGGTTGGTTCAAGAAACGTAGGTTTAGGTGACATAACCGCAGGATTGTGGATGGGCAACCTTGCATAAGATGATCTGCCATAATAATGTTTGTTCAATTGGTTGTTGGGCCATGAATAGCATACAACTCCTTAATATTTGCAGACAAAGCTTGTTAAAATTTATTTTCATTCCCTAATGCAAGTGACTGTAACCATCTGGAGCTCAAATAGCATTCTGCAACATGCATTCTAAGTAAGCATGTGCAGAATTGACAAAATAACATTGTATTAGAGAAAGCATACATGCAACAGGAGCACTATCCACAATTCAGAACACTGGAATTGGAAAATAACAATATATTGAAATTGAAAGGTGATCATTTACTATAATCCTAAATTTGAGATAATACGATGGTATTTTTTTTCTCAAAAAAGCAAATCCACTAGAGAAATCCAGTTTTCTACTTTTCTTGTTTGTCAGCGATCAGAGTGTGACATTGACAAAAGAAGAAAAACAAACAAACTCCAATTAGCACTATTGAGATTAACTATAAACATGAACATCAGTAGGGCTCCCAAAAAAAGAAGAAAAAGAAAAGGGCACAAAAAATATTAGAGCTTTTAAGCCTGGCAGAGTAGCCAAAGCCATATCAGCAATGGAACACCAGAGCTAGGAAATTACAGGTCGATGTATTACGGTGAAAGAGGAGCAGAATGAATTAATACATACACACATTGAGCAGGCCAACTCCCATGGCAAACGGCTGATAAGAAGCGAATCAATTCTGATATCTGGAAAGGATACTCCTTTTCTACCATATGAAGAATGGACCTGATTGGACCATCAATAAAACTATCTTTGTCCCAGAATTGCATGCAGAGAGATTCCTGAACCATAAAAAGGATCACATCAACTGATTTATATTATGCAAATACATGAATAGTTCTACATCTGCACATATTTTGTAGTCAAACCTCTCCATCGTAAACTTCGCATAGAATATTTAAAATCATGCCAAGAGAACTATCTTCTGTCTGCACAGATGAAATACAAAATTACAAAAAACACAGTATGAAGGCAACCTTTTGTGGCTTTGCCAAGGAAACAATTCAATTTAAATGCACACTATGAAGAACCACAATTTACCTGATAAGAGATCTCATATGAAGCCACAAATGCTGAAATGAATGTTCTCAATATACCCCGAAAACCAGAAACAGGACCCTGAAAGCAAGCTTTGTCATGCACTTAAAGAAAGCTCTCTAAGTTAAAAAAAATGAATCTAGTGTAAAAATCATGAAATAAATGTGGAGCGAATAAATAGTGCAGTAACATATCCTAGATAGACTATTCGTTTTTCAGTAATCACATTATCGTTGTTTAATAGGCATGGCATAGTACTATAGTAGCATAGTACAAACAGTTCATCTAATTCTGTGTTGCATTGGGTATGTAGAAACTAAGACTGAAAATCAGGACATGGACAATTGACTAGTCAGTTTCTATACGTACTTCTTGGTTGTGTCACTGACAGATAATATGGGCCTAAACAATACTATATATACATGGGTGATGCAGAACGCATCCAGTCCAGAAGTGAAATAGGACACATTGGCCAAACACAAAACTATATAACTATATACATATTAATATAGCAAAGTTGAATCACAGCTGCCTCAGATACATGGTCACAGCTCAGTTGGAGTGCTCACAGCACATTCTGCAGCCATGTAAATTAAACAAATACAGTCAGCAGAGCCGCATTTCACTCTTTAAGTCTGTAATTTCAGTACACAACAGGCCTTACCCTTAATCTTCTTCAAGCAATGTAATCATTTTTAAATAATTTATATTTTTTTCAACACTGATGACATGAACGTCTGCTGCTTTCTTTTCCAAACACAGGAGGAAACCTTTAAAGGTATTTCCAGAATTTCAGTGAATAACTGAATACTCATATTTTATCGGTGAGAATACAAAATGAACTAAGGATAATAGTATAGATCCCACATAGTAAAAGAGTTGCTCACGTAGAACATTAACCACTGTCCACCTAACGACTGATAAACTAAAAATATAATTTCCCACTGCATAGAAGTTTTCCTAGGGTACAGAAACAGAAAACTGTTTTGTCTTTATAACAAAATCATATACCTCTTGAAATCATATCATACCAAAACTAGGATGAAGCCATGCTCATAAATACCCCCTCCAGTCATAAATATTTGATGCAGTTGACTTTGACCTTTCGTCTTATTCAAAACAATTATGTAATTATCATTTATTTTGTTGTGACGTGTTTTATTATTAAAGGTACTTTAAGTGTAACTTATGTTTTTGCATATTTGCACTAAAATTTTGAATAAGACGAATGGTCAAACTTCATGGTGAAAGTCAACTGCATCAAATATTTATGACCAGAGGGAGTACTTGATAATAATTAGTATTCCCTCGATTGATTTTTACAAGGCACATTTCGACTAGGCATGGTATGCCAGTCTCCCAAAAGGGATTTCTATCGTTGATTCCCTTTAGACTATAATGTTTGTAACAATATAATCATGATCATATGAAAGTATTTCTCAAATAGGAATCCAACAATATCAATTTTATATCACTATAAATCATTGGACTAGTTCTTGGTCAAAAATCACAAAGTTTAAATCTTAAAGTATGTGCCTGCCTATAGAATCAAAACAGGGAATAATAGTTTAGCACATATTTGGTTAATTTTTATATAATACTCCCTCCGTCCGCAAATATAAGATATCCTTGGTTGTTTTGAAGAAATTAAGGATGAAGGTAAAAGGCTATATGCCCCCTTATTAAATAAGGGTATGTAGGGAGTGGGAGGGTCGTTGGTGGTAGGATGGGAAGTAATTTGAATGGGAGGTGATTGATGTGACAAATTGTACTTAGGATACCTTATATTTTAGGACAATTTTTTTATGTTTTAATCTATTATATTGGGAGGCGAAGGGAGTATTGTGCTGCTTGGGTCAAATTTGATTATACTGATGTCATATGAGATTTTCTAGACTTTCAAAATTTGTGAAGCATACAGAGTAGTACTTAAGAGTATCTATCATCATTCATTTATATATCATGTATGTTGTAACTACCCATAAGGTGTCTATGTATGCAGTCACTACATGAATTATCTTTTGCAGCTGCGTCCACATCACTAGCCTCCTTTTATGTTCTGATTAAAACATGGCAATATCTGTAGTTACATGGTATTAATGGTGATAGCTAGCATCAGTATAAACTTAACTCCATACGATTATCTATGACTTCAAACTATTTGGGGTAACATTGCCATAAAAACAGAAATAAGGGGGTGAACATTTATTTAGAGCATTTACATCTGATTCCTTGAAGATGCTTGAGCACAGAACTCCTTGTAGATAATTGAATGGAGCAAACTCAAAGGAGCGTTGGGCATAAGATGTATGATCAATGTCCTGAAAGCTTACGAGTGTAAGAAGATACAATGTTGCTTGCTGTAATGAGCCTAATGGCATTAGAATAGTGTATGGTTGAATGCCATCCTTACCAAATTGGTATTACTTCCTGGAAGGGACATGACCAGGCAAAGGAAAACTGCCCAAGCAAGAATAAGTGGTCCTGATTCTACTGCTGCAAATTCGGGTAATTTTGATACTTCGACGTCCATTTCAAGAATATCAACAACAGAAAATGTGGAATACCCTCCGCTGAGACCCAAAAAAAAAAAAAACCATGTAAGCTCTTAAACAGAAGTTACACTGACATATTAATAAGATACTAATATGGCATGCTCCCATACATAAATGAAAAAGCCAAGTTAGTCATAAATACCTAAAAGGAACTTCATCACGAACCATCCGGAGTAGACTTTCAAAGTCCAAGGTTTGAATGAGAATAAACAGCAGCTGAGCTTTAGCATAATGAAACGAATTTTTTGCTTCAACAGATACAGCAAATTTTCCAACATCATAAGAACCAGATAGCATGTCCTAAAAGGATAAGTGCTCAAGAAATAAATATTGAAATATCAAGTGAAGAGATCTCAGATTCCCACAGAATGAATAGACACCAAAAGGATGTACCTTAAAAATCGAACACAACATTATCCACAGTCCACCATTACACCTTGAAAGGTTATCATAGAAAAAAAGAAACAAGATGTCAAAAATCAGGTTAATTTCAATCAGTGTTTCTTCCAGCCAAGAAATCGTCAATTCAGCTCCCTGCAAAATGATGAGTATATCAGTGTGTGCAGAGGACACAAAACCACAACGGCAACGGCAAAAGAGTATAAGGCAATTGCATGTACTTGTCTGTGTACTCAACATTATGACCTTCAAGCAGATTTATTGCTCATAAACATATTTCGAACAAGCAGGTAGCTAGGGCACGTTAATACTATCAATGAACTTCTACAGTTTACAGGAAATGCATTCATCTTGTAAATCAATATTTAACAAGATGCTAAAATATGCGCAGTGCAGTTCAAGTTGATTCTAGGGAAAATGACACACTAGTTTTGCTCTGCCCTACAGAATTACCATGAACATAAATTTGTTTTGCAGCAAATGGAAGGTTCAAAAGCTTGACTGAGTACAACATACTTATTTGTCATCTATGTTCTATTACGAATAAAATCAGCAGACTTAAGGCAAGCACATGGGCTTTCCTCAGTAACCATCCCAACCTAGTTTTTCATTATATATCCTTAGGACCCATTTAACCTAGGCATAGCCCGCTTTTCTTTAGTAGCTAGCAATGATTATGCTTATTTTATAAAAAGTTTTTGTTGTTTTGGGACCGTTTTGAGCTGGTCTAAGCTTTACCTATCAGGGGTTCAGTAGAGAAGCAAAATTAGTCCATTCTCTAATAGAGCAGAGAAAAATAAAATGAGATTTCGCTTGTGTATAACAATTCCTTCATTAATTGTTTTATTCCTTCCCTACAAGATTATGTTCTTCTGCAGAATATCTATTTCTTTCTAATCAAGTGATTACTTTAGTCAACTCCCTTCAAAAATTCATTTCATCATGTAAAATAAAGCATATACATATCGCAATGTACCACCTAGAATCTCAGGCTGTAGACGACATTCATTTCCTAATATATTAGAAATTAAGACAGAGTACTGAAGTTGAATCAATCATCATATCAAGTTACTTCTTTAGGAAGGGCATACACATGTGGAGGCAATACAGCCAACTAGGAAGCAGGAATTGAAATTTAAAGATGGACAGTGAACCATAAAAGTTGTCGTGACTGAATAATACAAGAATGATAATTTGGTACATTGACATGCAATGGCCACATTTTCATAAAATTAGCGCTAGGGCTGTAATATAACATACCCCTTTGACAGAGAATGCAGATGCAAGGGAATCTCGAACAATGGATAGTAGTCTCTGTTCCACCTCTTCCCTAACTAAAACTGAGGCCTCTTCTCTAACGGCATCAATTGAATCAGAACAATCATCTGCATATGGAGAAAAAAGACAGCTTGAGATGTGCACTTTAAAACCAAGTAGACCACAAGTGCCATTTGTTAAACAAAAGCATGTCTATTTTGAAGAAAGTGCCTTTATATTTCCCAGCATTTTTATATTTCATAGTTGGCAAAAAAATAAGCTTTAAGAATAGGAAACATTAACTAACATTTAGGATGACATGGTCAAACTCAAACATAAAACACCAGCCATGATTTTGAACCTTAATTCATGCCTTACTCAAAACAGCACAAAAAGCACTCGCCTAAGCGCAAAAGCAAGGTGTATCAGCTAAAGTGCCTTGAGTAGCGTCAGCCGCAGCGAGGCTGGCGCTGCACCTTTAGGGCTAACCACTTAAGCACAAGGCACTGAAGTGCATAGGTGCAAGCTTCAGTCGCATCTAGCTGTCAGGTAGAAAAGAATAGAAAATAGGGCAGGGGTCGTGTAGCCCAGAATATGGCCCAGAAGGATTAAGTTGAACTTCTAAGTAAAATTATCTTCAAAGTGGCAAGCTATGTATAAAGCAACAATACTTGTTCAATTGCAGTTTGCTAATCTCATATTAAGACCCATTTAAGGGTGGTAATGGGCACAACCTTTTGGCCTACAAAATGTAAGGGCTGGGTGTCTGGGTATAAAAAGGGTTGGGCTGAAATTTAGTAGATTTTTTAGCTAAAAATATTTAAGGGCTGAGATGTGTTGTGGAAGGGCCCAGAGGGCCCTGGCCCATTACCACCCCTAGACCCATTATATATTATTTACTTTTTTGTCATCCTCGATAGCTGAAAGAATCAGGCATGGAGTATTCTTCTTAGGGGTAAACACTCATATTTTTATGCTCGCGCTCTTTTTGCACTTTGTGCATAAGCAATATGAGGACATTGCACTTTGAGTGCGCTTTTCACTTTAATGACACTAACTAAAAGTCTAAAACACGTGCGGTTGTCATTTTCTGGACTGCAAGTGAAGAGATAAGATGTAGATGAATCATTTCCTAGACTCAAATCATCCATTAGAATTCTCAGTTTCTCACACAAAAAAGAAACACGAAATAATTTGGTTTGCTGCCAAAAACATTTTTTCAGAGAATGAGGGTAAATCCATTCACTAATGTTGCATATTGCAAACATATTTTAACCTAACTCTACAAAAACTTACTTGCATGAACAAAGATTCTTCGGATGCACTTCAGCAAGCATTGACGCTCCAGGTAATATTGTACAGATACCTTCAAAAAAGGGAAACATTATTCAAGAATAGTAGACAGAATCACATAAACAATAACAATTAATAAACCTTTCAACTAAGTTAAGATAAATCTGTACACATCCAGACAAACAGTAGCCTAAATCAGCAATTGTTAACTCCTTTAATCTAATCATGCATTTTGGAGAATTCGTCTTTAGAATGCATAAGATCCAGTTCAGTTTGAGCATACAAAATGTGCACTTATGCACAGAGTTTAAAATTAACCATACCCGGGGAATAAGGTGCACAAGTTTCTAAAAGTTCTTCGAAACCATATATCCATGAGGTGACATTATATAGTCCAGTAAAATTGAAAACAGAACACAATCAAATTTCCAATATATCAAATTGTAAAATTATCAATTTTTTTATGTCTTGAAAATGCGATTAAACTTTGACTTGAAATTGCAAGCCTATATAACATCTCAATCTATATGTGATTTCTTCTATATTAATAGTAAACTTTTATGGCTTAATGGAATTTGCGCAGCAATTTACACATGATATAATGCCTTACTTTTAGTGAGAGGATTGTCACAAGATAGAACTAGAAGATAGCAATTCAATTCCCCAGAAAGTAATTCTGGTTGCAAGATTAGAAGTTTTATAGTTTAATTTAACTTGGCACATTTCTTTCTTGAGATCTCAGATTCAAATTATTTGATGAAGTAAGAATCTATTCATAAGTGTATTCAAAATTTTAACTATTGGTTGCTAAAGTATAACCAATACATAGATGGCTCTCAGCACTCCTAACAGGTAGTATGAAAAGAAATTAGATAAAAAGCCTCCAAAAGAAATATGCAATTGTACCATACATAATGAATTATGTTGCAGCATTTTACTTTCTAATTTTCTACAGTCAGCATTAACTGCAGTGCATAAAGAAGTCTATTTTACGGGAGAAAAAACACATAAACATACCAGGCGAAGAAACTCTTCAGTATCAGCAACAAGAGCTGTTGGAGTGTTTTCTGAAGTTCTCTTAACCAGAATGTACGATTGCACCTCATCCAAGTTCTGACAGAAGAGAACATATAAAATGAAATGCTGCAGCACAAAAGACGTGTGCAACTATTTTGTTGAATAAAAACAAATGGGCCCCAAAAAAGAATATCTTCAGACTTGAAGAAGTTGGACAGAAAGATGGGCAGGATAAGCTTGCCCAACATATGACAACATTGCATCAGGAAAACAAGAACATATACAACACTAAACATATAGTGTGCTCTTTACGATATTGTTTTCTATTATTATACATAACTCAGGAAATGTTACATCACAGGGACATGCATAAGAGAAAGGTTATGAGAGTGATTGAACTATATGACATCACAACATAGATTTCGTTGGTATTTTCTTAACCACAACATTTTTGGTACACTAGAATTTATTTGAAAAACATTTAGGTAAAGAATAAAGGCTGACAGGTGAATAAAAAGTTCATGGATAACTCACACCTACCACTGGAAGACAAGAACAGCAATAGTACTAACAATCAACGCTCCAACAACAGTGGAACTTGATGCATACACAACTACACCCTGATGATAATAATTCTCACAATTACGAGAAAAGTTGTTCCACAGACATCTAAAAGGTTCCACTAATCGCACAAGTATTGAGTTAGGCGGCCCCTGCCTTTGAGTTATTTAAATTGAGGAAGTTCTAAAACGCTACTGATTGCATCTCAACCACAGAGGCACGAAATGGTGGTAGCAGTGGTGGTGTTGGGGAGTGTGGAGAAGCAGAGTACCATGCACTTGCTCAGGCGAAGCGCGGCTGCCTTGAGCTCGGGCTTGACGGCGAGGCGGTGCTCCCCAACAACCACCTCGGAGGCATCCAACGCGCCCCTCGACGCGTCGCTCGGCTTCACGAACATGGACACCGACCCGCGGAGCCACGCGTGGTGGGCCTTGATCCGCTCCGCCTGCAAACAAACACGGAACACGTCATCATTCACCGCCCGGAGGCGAGGCGAGCGAGAGCGGGATGCTAGTAGGGAGCTCACGAGGGCGTCCGGGACGGAAGGGGACGCCGCGGCGGCGCGGTCGAGATCATCGGAGAGGTCGATGAACGGGTCCCACCACAGCGAGGCGGACGCGGTCTTGCTTGTGGTGGTGGTGGCGGCGGCGGCGGCGGGGGTGGAGGCGGTGGCCGGGGCGGAGGAGGCGCCGCCGCTCGCCATGGGCGGCGAGGGTGGTGACGCGGAAACCCTAGGATGGAGATCCCGCGCGCGATGCCCTTTTTTTTCGATTTGGGAATTGGGAGCCGCGAGCAGCAACGGGAAGCCGCCGAGCCGAGGCGAGGGTTAGCGGAACTGCGCAAGAGAGGAAAGAGAAGAGGAGACAGGGTTTTTGTGTTTAGTGAGGGTTTAGGCACCGTTGGACTTGGGCCGCTCAATTGCGGGCCTTGTGGCCTTCGCATTGTGGCCTCTCAATGAAATAAGTTACTTATCGATTAATCTTATTTTCGTTCTTCAACCAAAAAACCAAATCAGAGAAGGGAGTGGAGGGTAGAAGAGATGCTGATGCACTGGCTTTCATGATCACGAAGCAATCTGACGAGTTCCATATGATGTCAGTGAAGCAGTAAACATTGGGCCGGCGAGGGTGTTGAGAAAATAGGAAAGACCAGAGGAGGATGTCCTGAAACTGAATATTGATGGATCTTTTAGACCAAATGAGCTGACGGGGGCTGGGATTATGTTATCAGAGATGCGGACGCGCATGTGATCCAGGCGGGTGCCGGAAACTCATCACGGTTGCAGGATGCCTTCCACGCTGAAGTTTTGGCCGCGGTGAAGGCAGTAGAAGCGATATCTCACGGGGGTATGGCATATATCCATCTAGAGTCTGATTTACTGATGCTGGTTCAAGCCCTGAAGGAAGGGAATCTACAATATGCAGCGATGGGGGTTCTTGTCCTAGAAGCGAAGAAGATTATAACCTCGGCTTTTATTTCTTTTTGAGTTAGCTAATGTCCTCGTGAATGTAATAAGTTGGCAGATGCTATAGCATCGATTGGATGTAACAGCCCCCAAAACACTGTACAATTGCCATATCACCAAGTTCCATGTGCCTTCTTCTCTATTTTCTCCACAGCGACGCTCGTGTTCCTCGGCTCGAAAGCAGCGTACGACGCGCACCCACCGACGAGCACACGTAGAGAGGGAGAAGAGCGGGGGCAGCATCCATCGGGCAAGGAGGCCGGCGAGCACACACACAGAGAGGAAGGAGGTGGGGAGGCTGACGAGCGGAATGGGGAGGCTCTAAATTTGTCTCGCAATTTACAGACGGAATCTGTAATTTATTTTGTTATTAATCTACGTTTAATACTTCAAATGTGTGTCCATATATCCGATATGACACGCCAAAATTTTTCGTCTCGCTGTAACACTTGGGTATTTTGCTAACTAGGATTGCATAATTTACCCAGTCCTGAATTAGGAAAATTAGACCCTAATAATCTAGTGTTTATCGTATTTTTATTTTTTTCGTGATAACGTATGGGTATTTTGCTAGTATAGATATAGGTTTGCAATCAGTATATTCTTGAGACAAGAAAGTGTGAACCGTATAGTTTCCATTTTTTTCGTGCGATCAAAACAAGGTGGGAGAAGACTGCTGCAATCTGATCTGCGATATGACTGATCTTGTCATCTCTTGTGGTGTGTGTTGTAAGATACCTTGGTACCACCACCGCTCCAATATAAATTAATATAATACTTGATGCTAGATTTATAGTAAAAATGTATCAAATATCATATTAATTTATTTTGAAACAGAGAGAAAGTATGTTTAATGTTTTTTAATGTAACAAAAGGTTGTAATTATTAAACCAGTTAAAGACAAAAGGCAATGACAAAAATACCTCTACTACATAAAAAAAACTCATAGAGAAATGTTCATAGGTGTCGATTCATTTTAGTCCAACACCTATCGACCTTTTGCCGTACCCCTGTGATAAAAAAAATATAGAACCGACACCTTTAAACACTATAAGTGCTGGTTCTAGAGAAAAAACCATACTATAGATGCAGGTTTTTAAAAGAACCGATACCTATAATATTATAGTTACCGGTTAATTAAAGGACTGATTATATGTGTCGGTTTTTAAAAATAAACCGGCACATATACCCACGCTTTTCTCTAGTGTCTTCTCCTTTGTCCCACGCTTCTCTCTCAAGCGTCTCTTTCTTAGTCTCTCTCACGGCCGCCGCCCGACGACGGCAGCGGCCCACCCTCCCCTTCGCTAGATTCAGCGGGCTCCCGCGACCGACGGCAAACTACCCACGAGTGGTGGCGTTGGGCTCCCCTCCACTAGATCCGGCGAGAGGGAAGGCAGTGGCAGTGCCAGCAAGAGGGAAGGCGCCTCCTCTCCGCCGCTGGCTGCCATGATGGTGGGGGCAGCTAGATCAACGATGGGAAGGTAGGGGAATCGATTTTTGTTATTGTGTTTGGATGATTTTCGTGATGATTTCGATGGAGTTGACTCGATGCATCAGGATTCGTGGATCGTCAAAGGTGCCGGTTTCTAAACCGACACCTATATCTCTTCACATCACTGCCGGCCTATAGGTGTCGGTTGGAAAAACTGATATTTACAACCGACATCTATAGCACTTTCTGTAGGAGTGTACATGCATAAACCTCCCTAAAAAAACATACAAAAACCAGCTATACACGCACACAAGCACACAGATTAGCACTATCTGTTCAAAGGAAACGCGTTGCCTTGGGAGTTTTATTCCACGGCTAACGCACGGCACAAGCTACTTGCCGTACGTCCGAACAAGAGACTCCCACAAAGGCAAGGAGGGCAGCAATCAGAACACCGAGAAGGCAAATCATGGTGATGACCATCCATGCATGGCCAAATAAGGCAAGAATATAGTCTACGAAAAACACAGGTACGCCGACCCAAAGCCAGCCAACGTCGACGAGTGTGTCCCGCACGGCAGCGGGAGCACTTGGCAAGAACAGGTCCATGTATTGTCTTACCACAGCGACCAGCGCCATGTAGACTCCCCATAACATGACAGCCAACACATGACAGCCAACAGACACCATGGGTAGCTAGCACCATCGAAAGGGCGGATGTAGAGGTCATATGCCAAGTACGTGGAACCGGCGATGAACATGGAGGGTAAGTAGATCGCCAGTACCCACATCACCGAACGGGATGTGCGAGACTTGGAGTTTGCTTTTCCAACCGTCAGTGCAGGAGGCACCAACTGCGTCGCGCTTCTAGTCTGATCGTTGGTAGCACTAGCACTGCTGATCTGGTACAGCAGCTGTAGAGGGTCTAGGGTATAGCCTCTGTCTGCAAGCATCTTAGTGTATGATCTTCACAGCCAAGGCATGTCTGCAAGTGTGTTATGATAGATCCTGCAAAAAGAAAAGGAGTATCTATGGTATGGCATCAGTTCTATCCATAGAAGAATACTGTACGTGCATGAAATTAAGTTATATGAACCAACCGCTGTACACAATATTTGCTCACGCTCTACTGACCTCTTCCTAAAAGCATCACATGTGTTCAGAATTTAAAATGCCAGATGAACACGAAGCATGCTATAACAATTAACTAACGGTTTTCAGAAGAAGAAATAATTTTACTACTCTGCACTCAAAGAACCTGCATAGCTCCAATAAAAGCCTAAAACTGTATGCAATTGACAGCGATCTGACAGGCTCCAACCTTGTGCATAGAGATTGAACAAAAATATGTATTTTTTTAGTTCAGTTGTACTGCTCAGGTACTTTGTACTTGACTATCGTTATTCTGCTTGCAGAACAACTCGCATGTCATATGTTTTGGTAGAAGGAAAGTACTAACACTTGTTCAACCATGAACACAACACATCAACTTGTATTCCATGTGTTTTGGTAAAAAGAAAAGCCTGACACTTGTTTAATCATGAATACAAGTATACAACACTATCAGAATAATATTTGGTAAAAATAAAGTGCTGATACTGGTTTAACCATGAACATAAAACTAAACAGAGGAACCTGCACTGTAAACATAACAAGAGGTTGAAACATGGAGTAGCGTTCAGTCATGGTGGATGACACTTTTATTAAATTATACTACCCAACAGAATACTATTATACCACATGTAAATTTCAAAGCTTCAGCCCAGCAAGATTGGCAATGGCAGGAGACCTAGCTGTATGGATTCATAAACTAACAGAGCATGGCCGAAATTATTAGTATTATCTTTTCTGGCGGCCTAGCAGGTGGGCGTTGCACCGGCTCCTCCGCCCCTAGAGCCTGCCGGAACCCTAACCCTAAACAGCAGCCGCCTCCTCCGGCGAGGAATCGACGCGTATCAGCGAGTCGGACGCCATAACGAACATGGTAGGGGACGGAGGAGGATCATACCTCGATCTACTGGGACTTCCGCCGAAGATGGAGGGGAGCAGATTCGCCGCGTTGCGGTTCGGCGGCGGCGGGGCGGCGGCGAAGGAGGTGGGGGCGAGTGGCGACGGGATTGGAGATTCAATCGACACACAGTCAGCCGTAAGCCTTAATTTGGGCCACGCAAAACGTGCACTGGCCACAAGAAAGTACTATATAAAAGAAATTCAAAACAATAATAAAAAGAGTCCAATTCAGACTTTTGAGTCCGATTAGGCTTGGAAATATCCAATCACGTCTACGCCCTGAGAAAGAAGAACAATTGATTTTCCCGTGAAGAAAAAAAAAGTAATTTTTCATCTCCCATACCAATTGTGAGATATTTAACTATTTACCGAATGGAATAAGTTCACCCGAGGTCCCTCAACTTAACAGCGAGATTTTTTGACGTCCCTTAACCGTAAAATCAGAAATCTTCACCCCTAAACTATACCAAACCGTCTAATTTAGGTCTCATGACAGTATAGATGCCCGGTTTTACTGTCGTGGCATCCTAGTCAGAAAAAAAAAAAGGGGCCACGTATCAGCCCCACGTCATCTGTCTTGTGCATCCTCTCCCTTCTCTCTCTCACTTTTGTTCTGTAGAGCGGCCGGCGGATGGGGAGGAGGCGGCGGCGGCGGCGAGGCAGGCGACGAGGAGGTCAGTCGGCGACGAGGCGGCGGCAGCGGCGGGAGCAAACGTTGAGCTCGACGCCCATGGCGTGGGCGAGCTCCCCGTTGTCGTCGGAGCGGAGGAGCACCTCATCACGGCGGTGAAGCTTGAGAGGAAGGTGGCACTGAGGACGAGCGCGTGGTTGGCGAGCTTCCGCCGGCGAGGAGGGCGGCGAGAGACGACGAGGACTTGTGGAAGTTGAAGCCGACGCGAAGCTCCCGCGCCTCACCACCTCCGCCGTCCTCTTCCCGACCCCGAGGCCGTTCGGTTCCTATAGGCCCGCCAAGGGCAAGCCGATGCCGCCGCCCATCACCATCTCCAGCCGCCGTCCTCGACCCGGCACACCTCCACCTGCGCCCACTCCTGCCCCATCCGCCCTTCGCTGCCCGCCGCCCCGGAGGATCCCGTCGACGGCCGCAAGCTCCGCGTCGCACTCGCGCACAGCTTTCTCGTCGTGTCCGTCTTCTGCAGCGCGTGGTTCCTGGACGATGGGGATGGGGATGGGGATGGGGATGGCGGCTAGTGAAGCCGTAGCCACCAAGGCCTCTTCGCCGTCGGGAGCGGGGTCACAGGGGGCAGGGGACCTCTTCGCCGTCGGGAGCGGGGGCGAAGGGGGCAGAGGAAGCGACAGCGGACGAGCACGTGTGCGTCAGTGCGGCGGCGGCGGCAGAGCTCGGCCAGGCTCGCCTCGCCCCCATCTGCCGCCGGCGGCAGCCTCCCTGGAGAGGAGCTGAAGAGAAGAAAAAAAGAGAAAAGAGAGAAGAAGAGAAGTGGTCCCCACATTTTCTATCTATTTTCATTTACATGTGGGATCCATATATTTTTTTTATTTTACTGACAGACATGTATACTGCCATAGGATCTAAATTGGATGGTTTTTTATTATTTAGGGGTGAAGATTTCTGATTTTGTAGTTAAGGGACGTAAAAAAATCTCGCTATTAAGTTGAGGGACCTCCGGTGAACTTATTCCTTACCGAATCGATTCGTACCCCTTTCGGCCCATCTCCCCCACGACCCTACTTGGCTAGCCCAATCAGTGGTCTAATGTTCTGCAGACAAGCATGGACAAAACGAAGATCGGGAGATATTTTAGACCTCGATGGCATCCTGCTGTTCTTTCCAGTAAATAAAAAGTCATTCCCTCGCAAATATCTCAGTTTGCTGCTTCACACCATAAAACTGATGAAAGTTGATCTACAACCGTTAGTGGATAAGATAAGATTGAGAATACCGAGTTGGAAGGGCAGATTTTTCACATCGGCTAGCCCGGAGGTCCTCGTCAAATCGACCTTGTCGGCAACACCTATCTACCACCTTACAGTTCTACCATAGAATGAATGGCTTTATAAGCGGATTGATCATTTTAGACGAGCTTTCCTCTAGAAAGAAGATGACTCGGACAACGTCTGTGCGGGAAGCTGCCTTCTAAATTGGAACTATGTTTGCAAGCCAAAGGATTATGGGGGTCTTGGAATCTTGAACTTGGAAAAAATTGCACGAACCTTAAGACTGTGTTGGCTCTGGTTTGGTTGGAAAGATGAATCGAAACCCGGGGCTAACATGGGAGCTACGACGGTGTGTGGCCTCGACAACCCCAACTGCACGTGGACTGTAGCGGTGCGTGGAGGGATGTAGCAAAGCACACGTCCCTCGGCGACCCCGACGGCATGTGGAGAACTCGGTGGCAGCGAGCAAGCCCTTCATCGGCTTTCCCTCCCCCCCTTGCCACCGCCGGCTTCCACAATCCATCCGTCGGCTTCCCATCCCCCCTGGTGATGACCTCATCGCAACTTGAGGACACAACGTGATAGGGGCATTTTGTTCACACTGGTAAAAAAGTGCACGACGTCAGCACGAATACACTAAAATAATTGGCACGGTGTCTGCATGCAAATTACCATATTTATAAAGTGGTTTCCCCTAAAATTCACTCCATGCGATGTCTTGAAGCATATTTTGCCTTAAAGAAAATATGAAGTAGTTTCAGACTTTCAGTAGTTACTGGAAAAATAACATCTCTAGTAAATTGCAATACAAATCTATAAAAATTGAGTGGCAATATACTTCTATACCAGAAGGAAACAGTTGGTGGCTTTGATTTTGGGGCAACCGATTTGATTTTGTTATCTGCTAATATTTTTATTTTGTTTATTTGACCCCTCGTTTTAAAATCAGAGTGGCTGACCCTATTCCATAATGGCAAGAAAACGGAGTTAACTAAGGGCCAAATTATCCTTTTTTGCCCTTGTTCATTTGACCTTGTTGTATAAAAATATTTTGTTTATTCAAAACTTTTTATATATTTGTAATGAATCAAGCATGACATATTAGAGATAGGTTTGATAGATTTGACTCCATTTTGACAAATTTAGCAAGATTTTGACAAAATTAAACGGGCTTTTTTTTGTAAAATTTTGACAACATGTTGTCTCATTTTTGTTCATCCAAGACTACATACAGTGAAGAAAAACACATATAGAGCTCCAAGATGGGGATGCTTGGCGGGAAAAATCCAATGTCGCTGCCAAACCGCCCCTTGCTCGCCCTCCGCCTACAGCCGCCCACTGACCTTGTCACCTGGCCTACGCACCATGAGGACCCGGCTAGATCTTGATAGAAGGAGCCAAAGGTGGATGTCGAGCTCGATGCGGGATCCCACCTACCATGCCATCGCTGTCATCGCCACTGTCATGCCATCATCGTCATTGTGCCTGCGATTTCCTTGTGCCACTATCCTGGCTTGATGCGCAGTTGGCGGTCATTGCCGCCGCACCTGCTACCTCCAAGCACCGCCATCGCCGATCTCGTCATGCGCTGCTGTTGCCATTCGCAATGCTACCTTTGCGCACTGTGCCCGCCACGCACCGCCGTGGACCCTGCTCCTTCCGCACACCGCCGTCGCCCATTTCGGCATGCGTTATCACCGCCGCCACCTTTGTGTGCCGCCGCTGCCTTTGCCTATGCTCCCTCCGGTCTCGTCGCGCACCGCCGTCGCCAATCTCGACGTGCGCTACCGCTGCTGCACCTCCGTGCGTTTCCGCCGCCTCCGCCTCTGCTCCCTTCGCTCTATCTGCGTGCGACGCCACTGCTCACTTTGTCTCGACCACTGTCCGCCTCCTGAGATGAATGGGTCCCTCGAGAGTGTATGAAAAAAAATACTCTCTCCGTCCCAAAATATAGCAACTTTGTACTGGATGTGACACATCCTAATACAACGAATCTATGTTGGTCTCCACTTCGTTTTGGTACAAGCTGTCTTTATTAAGTGCAAATGTATTTGGATTCCAACCCTTTTAATTGTACTACGCCAGGGGTTTGCGCGCTGAAAAGATTTCCCATTTCCAAATCGACCCGCGTAAACTTAACGCTTACTCCATCCATCTGTCGCCGAAGTTGGAGTCGGAGTGCACTCGGCCACCGTCCGATGCAGCCCACTTCCAAGTCGGAGAGCGCCTTCGAGCCGTCCGATCGACCGATGCCCTATAAAATCAAGTCATCCAGCGAGGCCTCCTCTCCGCCGCCATCCACGCTCCCTTTCCAAATCTTCCCACCCAAATCCTCTTCTCCCATCAGCTCTCCTATGCTTCTCCCCATCATGCCGGCTCCACCCATGGCGCCCGCGGTGGCGAGCCGCAAGCGCGCGGCGCCCGAGGATCCAGAGCCCCGCGCCTGCTGCGGATCCTCCCCGGCGGACGGGGCGAAGCGGCGGCGGTACAACTTCGGGAGCGCCGACGACTACGAGCGCCTCGACGTGGTCGGCCAGGGCGCCTTCGGCGTGGTGCTCAGGGCGCGGGATCGCCGCACCGGCAAGGTCGTCGCGCTCAAGCGCCTCATCGGGGCGGACGAGGGCGGCCGCTTCTCCCGCGACTTCGACGCGCTCAGGGTGGAGGCCGCCTGCCAGCACGCCTGCCGCGGTCACCCCAACATCGTCCAGATCAAGGACGTCGTCGCCGACGCCAAGACAGGTGACCTCTTCCTCGTCCTCGAGTTCGTCGGAGGCAGCCTCCGGGATGAGTTCCCCAGGGCCCGCCCGGAGGACATCGTCCGCGCCATGATGCGGCCGCTCGTCGACGCCGCCAAGAAGATGCATGCCTCGCGCGTCATCCATCGAGACATCAAGCCGGAGAACATCCTTGTCAGCTTCTCCGGGGAGCTCAAGATCTGTGACTTCGGCGCCGCCACGCTGATGAAGCCCGCCGGGAAGCCGTACGACCTGTGCCGCCCCGGCACGCTGCCGTACACCTCGCCAGAGCAGCTCGCCGGCAACCGATGCTACGGCCCCGCGGTGGACATGTGGGCGTTGGGGTGCATCATGGGCGAGCTCCTCACCGGCGCGCCACTGTTCGGAGGCGACATGACGGAGAAAGAGCTGCTCGCCGACCTGTCCACCAACCTAGGTGACCAGCTCAACGAGCTCTTCTATGATGTCCTGCCGGAGCTGTCGCCGGCGGCGCGCGAGGTCCTGTCCGGGCTGCTGGCTTTCGACCCAGAGAAGAGGATGACGGCGGTGGAGGCGCTGGAGCACAGGTGGTTCGCCGAGGAGCCCAAGAAAGCAGAGTTCCCTGGCTTCGTGCCTCTGTTTGGATAGCTCTGGGAGAAGAAGACAGAGAGTGTCAGTTTCAGTTTGACAGTCCGCCTGTAACTTAGAACAGTTAGATGTGTTAGGACTGATGATTGCATTTGCAAATTGGCATTGCAATTAGTGTAATCTTATTATTCTGATTATTCATTTGTAAGCATAATTATGTAAATCCTATTCAATTTGTACAAAGCAATTCAAGGCCCTCTTTGTTCAATAAAAATATCATATTTTTTTCAGCTTTGTGAGTCCTGCTTCATTACTGCTTGTTTGTTAATCTTCAGGAAAAGGGAATAGTTTTGTAGTATTTGGAATTATGGATTGTGTCTTGAGTACATAAGCTACCAGGAATATCAAACACAGAGTCGTCTATGCCAATGGAGTATTTTGGTTGTTTCAGGCAATAGGCTCATTTGTCAGAATCTGAGTTTTTCTGTGAAAAGATGGAGTAAAAAAATTTTATAGCTCATTTATCATATCTAGAGCTTTTGTTTAACAAAAAAGAGAGAAAGTTTTAGATCTTTTTTGTTTGGGCACTTTCAGACTTCAGTGCTTGCTTGAGTAGAGTAGTGTTCCCCAATTTTACAATATTCAGTTTGTTTTGAGTCCTGCTTCATGGATGCTTTTGTTTGTTTAGTCTTCAGGAAAAGTGACATCCAAAAGAATGGAAACCGTTGTGCAAAAGGACACATTGTGAATTGTGATCACTGCTGTTGGAGTATTTTGGTTGTTTCAGTCTTTCAGACAATAGACTTCATCTGTCAGAATCAGAGTTTTGATAGAAAAAGAAGAAGAAAGCAGAGTACTCTGCATTCACTAATATAGGCATTTGACTAGCGTAATCTTGTTTCTTTGGTGTACTACCTGAAGGCATATTCATATTATAAGACTGAACAACATCGGCTTCTTCAGACGACATGGAGCGATGTATTCTGAAAAGGAACAGGAACTTCCATCTTGATTCTTGAATGTAATAACTGTAGTTCATCCAATTAGTATCATGATCTGGCAGCTTGGAATGCATGGTCACAGGCTCACAGCCCACAGGATCCTGCACACCACCTATTCTGTCTGTCAGTCTGTAACTTAGCAATATTGGTAGTCTTGTCTCAGAGCAAGGTCAATAGTATAGCTAGCAGCAAGCTCCAAAATTTTGTCATGTTAAAATAGAGCTAACTTAAAGAGACAACTCATACAACAAACTAACTACAAGTTAGCTATAAGCTGCATTGGTTAAAGCATACATATATACATTAAATAGTTACATGGTTCCATGTGGGACCCACATAAATGTATTTTTTATCGTCTTTTTGGCTGCATGTGAGCGCTACAGTTTCGGGTGCTGTGCAAGCGCCGGCGCCAAAACAAGCGCCTGCTTGTTCCTTTCCCCGTGATTTTCTTTCATTAATCTCAGATTAAGCTGATTAATAAGTTTTGTAGCCGGCTTAATAGCACTATTGTACCTGCTCTTAGGGGTGATGATTGCAAAAGGCCATTAGCACATTGGCACTGCAATCAGTCTAATCTTATTCTTCAGATTATCCATTGCAAGCATATTTATGTAATCAAATTCATGTTCAGAAAATTTTGTAGAAAGCAGTTCAAGTCCATCTTTGTTTCAGAAATTATCAGCTGATTGAGTCCTGCATCATGATTGCTTGTTTGTTAATCTTCAGAAGAGGAGACTTGGCTAGTAGATTGTGAATTCTAAGCATATACCAGGAAAATGTAAAACAGAGCGATGATGTGAAAAAAGAAAAAAAAACAGAATCTATATGCCAATGAAATATTTAGGTTGTTTCAGATAATAGACTCATTTTCCAGAAATAT